CAAAACCAAGAGCTGCATGACGCGATCACCTTCCTGCCAGCTGGGCCGAGACAAGCACGCTTCAGCGAGGAGGTGTTGGCCTTCTCCCCGCCACATAAAAGCAGAAACTGGCTGAAGAGAGCAGCCCAAAGACCGCGAACCGAGCCAAGGTCGTGGCCAGCTGATCAAGCTGTTGACCGCGTCTTTCCTACAAAAACTTGGCGGAACGTCTGTAGCACACTTTGGATAAGAGGCTGGGTTCCCAGATGTCCTGCATCCCAACGGCCTCCGCAGAACCTCACGGGAAGAGGGATGAAGAGCGCCACAGGGCAAAGCCCAGCCCACTGCTGCTGCTGCTCAGTGGGGTGCGGCTGATGCTTCTGCTCACGGCATCCACTCTCTTCTGCACCTGGGCAGCACACAAAGGGTTGCTTGGCGGCTGTCAGCTTGCCTGATCAATCCTGAGCCCCGGGCCCCGTCCACGCGCTGCTCCAGCTCCTAAAGTTGGCTTGAAACTGGCTTAAGAGCGTTCAACTGAATGTGCATGCTGCATGCTGCAACTTTCTCTGTAACACCACTTCCCACACCCGTGCGCTCCTCAAGTTGGTGGACTAAATCCCGCACCGATGTTCGATGCCTGTGGTCCAGACCGCAAAAAGCTAATATCGCAGTTTCACACAGGAATACACAGCGTAGCAGCCGGACAGAAGCGTCCAAAATCATGAACCAAACCAACGTCAACAATGCTAAGTCTCATAGGAACTGACCAAGTACTTGAGTTCGGCGCTGTCGAAGTCGCTGCTCCTGGCGCTGTCCCAGCCTGGAAGCACTCTGGCAACATTTCTAGAATGACATCCTATCGAACAGGAATGGGTACCATGCACGTCTTGGCAAAGCGCGCACGATTATCTCCCTGCACCGTCAGCCCGGTTTCCGGCGGTGCCCACAGTTCCCAGCCCCAGCTGGAGCACTCGAAAGGCACGGCTCGGACGGCACGAACGAAGCATCGGCTCATGTCCGAAAGCAAATTGTCCTCTGGGGGCCTTGCGTGGTTGCAGCATCCAGCTGCCTCTTCAAATCGGCCAGCTCCGCTTGCTGCTCGAGGGCATTTACCTCAGGCGCCGAGCATTGAACAAGCCTTGCGTCAGCTCAGCCCGCTTGCCCAGATACCCCATTTGCGGATGAAGGTTGAGTCGGTTACAAGTGTCGGGAGCGGGCCGAGGGTGTGTTGGGGACAGGGGGGGCGCGTGTTGGGAACTGGGCAGGCGTGAGTCAGGAACGCAGGGGGGGTGAGTCGGGAACAGGGCCTATGTGTACAGCACGACCGGGGGTTGAGTTGGGAAAGGCTGCCCCCCAGAACTGGGTTTCGGAGTGATGACCCTACTCTGCAGGTTTGCTTTAAGTCCTCTTTCGACGACTTGGAGTTGGGTCTACCGTCTTCTCTTCAGCTTCCAAAGGGGAGACTTTACGAGGCGAACACATCCGACGTGTCATGAACCCGCACACCAATTCGGCGTGTTGGTGTGCGGGTTCATGACACGTCGGATGTGTTCGCCTCGTAAAGTCTCCCCTTTGGAAGCTGAAAATAAGACGGTAGACCCAACTCCAAGTCGTCGAAAGAGGCCTTAAAGCAAACCTGCAGAGTAGGGTCATCACTCCGAAACCCAATTCTGGGGGGCAGCCGTTCCCATCTCAACCGGGGCGTGCTGTACACATGAGCCCTGTTCCCGACTCACCCCCCCCCGGCGTTCCCGACTCACGCCTGCCCTGTTCCCAACACGCACCCCCCGTGTTCTCAACACGCGTGTGCCCAACACACCCCAGTTGCAACCAACACGACTAACATTCCCCCATTTACTCATGGCGACTGGTATCTGCATCTGAGCCTTGAAGTGGGCCACCCGTTCGCTCTTGCAGTTGGCACTTTCTCATCGCTGGTCGCGAGCGATTTCTGCGAGGCTTCGCGCGATCGAGAACTCTTCTTGGGCTCCGGAAAGGGTCCCATGCAGGCGCAGGCGCAGCTCTCTAAGCCACAGCCTTGCTTTGAAAGCCAAAGTCTTCACGAACACTCGCAGCCGCGACAGCCGCGACAGCCGCGACAGCCGCCAGCAGTTGCAATCCTTGCTTTCATTGCCTCGGGCAGCCGCTACAGCGTAGGAGGCAAATCGATCTGCCGACCTTCCACCCAGATCCCGATGCAACGAAGCTACAAGATGCATCGTTCGCATGACCATCAGCATGTCTCCAGGAACACGGTCGGCGAGCATGCCCAGACCGGATATGGCAAAGGACGCGGCGCTTGCTTTCTCTGGAAGAATGCCCAGGCGTTGCAGCTTCAGCTTCAGTTCGCTTTTCTGTTCGGCCGTGATCTTCTGACCCAAGCCAGCCTTTGTCTCGATAGAGCGGTTGGTGAAGTAAAGCGGCAGTAGCTCTGCAGTGCAGGCGTCGATCCCCAAGGCATTGCAGCTCTTCACCAACTCTGCGGCATCTTGCAGCGCCATAGCCTTCCAGAGACCGCAGTTGGCCAGACGCCTGTCCTCTGAAAGTTCCCGGTACAGGCCATGGTCCAAAATCACTAGGCGAGGCCCTTTGTCCCCCTTCCCCATCTCCACAAGCAGGTTGCCTGGATGGGGGTCGCAGTGCACATACCCGAAGGAGAACACCATGGTGCCAAACGCTTCGATAAGCAATCTCGCTGCAATTTTTGCCGCTTGCGCCTCCACCTCTTCGCGCGCGGACAGAAGGAGCCCCCTCGACTTCCTCTGCGCAGACTTCACCACCTTGCTGATGGCAGTGCCATGGGAAAAGTCCATCACCAGCATCCTTCGCGTTGAGTAGTCAGGATGCACTTTTGGGACGCAGATGCATGCTGCCAAGTCCGAGTTTGCAAAAAAATCTCGACAGCGTTCGGCATGCTTGGCTTCCTCACGAAAGTCGAGCTCATGCTGGACGTTTCGCTCAAACTCATCTATTGCCCATGCCATGGAGAACCCTTCCTGCCTGAAAACATGGCTCATGAGCCGCTCCAAGAAGCGGACGATGAAGATATCACTGGCCACCACTGACTCGATGTGGCGATGTTGCACCTTCACAGCAACCTCTGAGCCATCGCGTAGCTTTGCTCGATGGACCTGAGCCAGCGACGCGCTGCCTACCGGATCCACGTCAAACTCCCTGAACACACCGTCTTTGCTGGCAGGGTCGGCGCCAAGCTCCACCCCAAGCTCAGAGCAGATGACCATCTTCACATCCTCCCAGTCCCCGGCAGGCGCGCGGTCTTGCAGCAACGACAGGTGCTGTACGTATTCCGGTGGCACCGCAGGTGCCAAAGTCGCGGCGTGCTGTCCGATTTTCACAAAGAGCCCGCCGTTGCCCCTGCACATCTGCAGGGCAAGATGGGCACAGTCCCCATGTGTCTTCGACAGAAGGTTACTGTAAGTATCTTGAGGCTCTGCCCCATGCCGCCACGACAAAGCCTTGTAACGAACTGCCATGTTGCCGACACAGATTGCAGCATGCAGGGCTCTGCGGCATGACAGCAGCGTCTCCAAGGTCGAGCGCCGTGTGTCCTCGTGCACACATGCCAGAGCCAGGCCGCCACAACTTACAAGCGACGCGCGAAGCGCTACTTTCGAAGCCTTCTGTGCCCAGGCAAAGCGCATTTGCACAGAGCCACGCAGTCAGCTCATGACTTTACACATGGCAAGTTTATGCATGGCAAGCGCCCAGCAACATCCCTTTCTTTCCCATAAGACAAAAGATGGAAACCTAGCATGGCAGACATAAGTGGCAGCGGAAAATGTGTCGACTTGAAACGAAATCAACCCCTGACGCGTGCTACCAACCAAGAACCATCCCTTGTCAAGATCAGAGACTTCCTAGACCATCAGAAGCTCAAACCAGGAGAGCATCAACACGAACAATCAGTATCTTGGGCCCATGCACGAAACTTCAGGGAGCTTGCTGCTGGGTCGCAGGGGACCTGGGGCATATGCGAATCACCACAACTGCGCAAACACTGGATCCCGTGTGTCCCTGGCATCCATCTCAGGTCAGCCCGGCATTTGCACACGCGCTACGTGGTTTTTAAAGGTACTTTAGTACTTGTACTGAATGCACTGGCTTCTAATGTTTCTGATGTTACTTTAGTTGCTGAAGTATTCGGCCTCCCTCTAGCTGGAGCTGGACGGCCTCATTGCACGGGTTAACGGTGAGAGCCAGAACCACTGCGGGGCCATCCTTGCAGCACACATGATGGGCACGCCTATGACCATGTTCTTGCACAACACGACACCCAAAATCACAGCGAGAGACAGCCGATCGCTTTCTGCTCGACGCGCGCGCTGCGTGCAGATTGCTCAGTCGGCCATTTCAAACTCCAAGCCAGTTGCATCCACTACTTCCTGGTCATCTAACTTCGGCAAGGCATGCTGCAGCAGCCAATGCATGCAGCTGCCAGCACGCAGCAAATTTTGCGAAGGCTGCTTGTCAAAAACCTGCGCGTGCAAGCCTACAAACTTCAGGACCACTGCCCTGTGCACAAGGCCGGACACCCAGGCGACGTCATCCCGGTACAACCACCTCGAGGCATGCCGCCCAGCAACATTGGTCCTGACCCAATCCGTGCCCACGCCTTCCAGTTCCAGAATCCAACCCAACGCGTCATCTGCATTGAAAAGCACAGTGTTGGTCTTCCAAAGGCATCTAGCTCGTGGGTCCGAATCAATGAGCCACTTGAAACAACAGTGCATCGTCAAATAGTTCATCTGCGACTCCTGCATGCAACTCAAGTCGACTCCCTTGAACATTTCGCAGGCTTGCAACCCTCCATGATCACAGGCACTTGTCCGCCCGTGCCAGAAACGTAAAAAGGCGGCCTTCCAGCTGCAAACAAGTTCGCTGTTTCTTGGACAGGCCAGGAACCAATTTTCCAGGTATTCTCCGTGATTGCTGCAGTCTGCCCGACCGAACTGCTTGAACACAAATGCTGCCAGCCCCTTCCCTTCAATACGAGGCATCAGCCACTGGTCCAAGCTCTTGTTGCAAACAACACTCACATCCACGTACACACCACCAAACTTGGAGAGCAACGCCAGGCGAAGCGCATCAGCAGCAGCATCGCGTCGAAGGTGGTGCCAGGTATTTGGCAGGTCTGTCTCTGCCACGTAGTCGAAACAGGTCTGTGCACTGAGCAGCACCACCTGCCACTCCGGGTTCTTGTGAACCCATGAGTTGATACAGGCCTTTCGAAATGGGCCCAAACCTTGTTGACCCTGTGCCCAAAACATCCATATGACGCGAGGCAGGCCGCCTTTGCATGAAAGACTGCTGGTCATAGCAGTGTGGCCTGAACAGAAAAAATCAGCAGAGACGTTGAAGCTTAAGCAACTTAAGACTTAAGATATGTCTGGTCCACCACAACCCTCGCCCGCTGAGCCAGCAGGTAAGTGCCAGTTCTCCAGAACTGTCGCACCGTGATTTCGGCCGACGCCCAGATCAGCTACACTTGAGGGACCTCCTACATTCCTGCCCGCCGCTGCAACTTCCGAGCAGGAATCTAGACAAAATGCTTTCAGATTTTTAGGAACCTTTTGGCTGCAGGAATGATCAATAACTCAATAACGGGCCTCATGAACCTCCCAAGACCGAGTGGGGACACAGATAACGATAACACAGCAGAGAGACCTGGCAGGGTCAGCTCGTCCAGGTCACGGCGGACACGGTCCATGCAAGTATTGGCCGCAGATTTCTGAAATGGCAACGGCCGCCAAAAGCCGGCGGTGGCAACGAAGGCTTCCAAAGCCGCACCTTGCACACAGATGCACGCAACATCTGCACTAGACAGCTGTTGGCAACAAGAATCGAAGCTAATGCCGCAGCACCACACACGTTTGCCGGCACGGTGCGGGAGAAGCTTGCGGCGTCTGCAGGAAGCAGACTTCCGGACATCACGAACTCAGGAAACCGCGCGCTGAGGCCCCACATAGCCTTCCAGGGATTGCAAAACGACCGTTTCCGCTAACTAGTGCCAGAGCCGTCAGCAGATATATGTAGAAAAACTTGCCGTCGCGGAAGCCCTGAGTCGTTGCTCCCACCCGACAAGCGCAGCGCGTAGATTTTCGGGAGGTGTCCAACAGCAGCACCTCTATGAGCCCTGCATGGCCCTGCAGGATGCTTCGTTAAACCTGCTATTTACTTTAGAAGCCCCCCCCCAAAAAAACAAAAAACTCAAAGACAATCATCCCTATGTTGCCCTTACAGGGAAGAATGGTTTTGTTCTTGGGGGGAAAATAGAAGAAACTCAACCCACTGAACGATCCTGCGTAGGCCGCATGTTGCCCCGCATGGCTGCACATCGACCAATCTCTGGCGCGCTTTTGCTGTTGGAACTGGTTCGCACAGGGTCCTATGGGAGGACTGTGAAGCCACGAGCAAAGTATTCTTCCGACAGCAGGCAAAACAGAAGGCAAGCACACCGGGCAAGCACACCGGGCAGCACGGCAGAAGGTGGGCAACCATACCGGAGTGCGCTGCTGCTGACAAGCGCTGCGTAGGCCGCGCTGCCACGAACGGGCCCACAAAGGGGCCCCGCTGCCGTGAGCCTGCCCGAGCCCCCCCCTCTCCAAGCTGCCGTGAACGCATCTCGATATGCCGCAAGTGGACCCTGCAGTGAGATCCATGAGTGTGCCCGGCTGTCATGCTCGCCTGTGACTCACACAGCAGAGCCTCACTTTCCTGATTCCCTTTTCCTGCCAGCGCGCCCCAGACTGTAATGTTTGCCGGTTTTGCGCATAATGTGTCCCGACGTGCACAGGAAATCGTGCCAGTGTCGTCCAGCAACCGCAAGAGCTTTAAACGCACGTTTTGGCTCTCGACCCTGACTGGTCTGAATGGTCGTTTAGGTTTCAGCACTCTCAAAGCTTGGGGCTTCGTGCTTGGAATTTAAGGACCCAAGGACAGCGATGATTGAAGTGCATATACTACTTTTGGAAGGCATCGCCTGCATCAGCTCCTGCTGGCTGCTGGCCTCACAATACAGAAGCAGCTATTAAAGGGGTGTGCTGCAAGGGACGTTGCTTAAGGCCATTCAACTGCATGAGGCACAAACGTGATTCTTACATTGCAACAGCAAATCGCAGACATGATGTGGTCACGGGCAGCCAGGAAGCCGCTTTCACAAGTGGTGGTGTCATCTCTTGCGGCAAGGGAAACAGACCTCCGCAGCAGCGGCGCAGTACACAAAGCACGTCGCGAGGGAAGTATTCGGAGACCTGAACTTGGAAGCCGCAACTTGGGATGTTCCCCCCTTCTACTGACAGTCCTTTATCGGGATTCTAGCACCCCTTACTATAATCCCTATTAAGGGCTGTTAGTATAAAGGGGAACATCCCAAAAGCCGCAAAACACTCTTCTGCTGTCCGCTGCTCTGGGCAGATCGAGACATGCCTACCCCCAGATCGGAGATAGTGCATCCGAGACACCGCTTTCTCCACCCCTCTTGCCAGCCTCAAATGTGTGGCGGGAGCCGATGACAGGGTTTAGGGTTTAGGGTTTAGGGTTTAGGAATTAGGGTTTAGGGTTTAGGGTGTAGGGCTAGGAATCCCTCTGAACCGCGGTCCACGCGTCGACACGGGCGAGGTGTCGAGCTCCCTCTTGCCGAGGCTTTCCAGCAGCTGGGGCAGAGCCCAAACAGCGGAAGCCGGGCCAAGCCGCTGCAGCTGGAGAGCGAAAACCTTTGCCTTTTCAGGAACTCCGAGAGCACGGGGCATGTGGTTGGACTCGACTTGAGGGCTGATTTCTTCGTAGCTTGAAGCCACGCCAAAACAAAACAAAACTACATGCTGTGGCACCCCAAAGCGACTGTACTCTTCAAGCTGTACCACCAACCTGGGGGTACCACTGCCAGCTCTCCTGCCTTGGTCGGAAAGGCAGGGAGCTTGAGTAAGGTGGGGGGGCGTCATGCGTTGATGGATCTGGTGCTCAGGACACGTAACGCGATGCAACGTACAGATGTGTGTTTGCTCCTACAGCGCATAACAACGCGTCCAGGGTCTGGATTCTCGCCACAGCTCAAATTTAGGGACCAAGCAACGGAGACGTGAATGCTGTAGTCACCGCCGTCTGCGGAACATGGGGCCACCGAAGCTCCACCAAACCCCAAGGGCAGCGCGGCTGCTGGCGGAGACGCGGGCGGACGAAGCAGGACGATAGCACTCCCGAGCATGAGGAGCATACAGGTGCCTTAATTCCACGTGAGGCAGGAAGGTTTCAAGCCCCGACATTTGCTCTCCTGTGTTGAAGGGAATGCAAGGTAAACTCAGACCTGGCCACTCCAACAAATAGGATCTCGCCGCCAACAGCTGCCAGCTCCGGGCGAGGCTATCCAGACCGCAGCAGAGCGTGGGCACAAGCTCGGCACTTCCATCAGCAAGTTCTGCGCACCTTTGGTGATCTCTCCCTGCCCTGAACGCAACGTTTGGTCCCAAACTGTGACTGAGATCGATGCCGAAGATAGCAAGATGCTGGATGTCATCAAGTACATCCAATCCATCCAGCAGCTGCTCATCACACAACCACAAAGGCAGCTGCCTGATTCTGTTAGCAAGGCGCGGTTCAGATGCTAAAGCTTGCCAGGCTTTGATACTTCATGCCCAACATGCCCCACACATATCCGAGCTGCGGTGGTTCATCAAACTCTGCCAGAAACTCCCGGAACTTCTTGCGGCGAACTTCATGCCAAGCATCTCCTACTTCATCTTTCCGCCCCAGATGCTGCACTTCGAACGACACGTCAACTTCACCGGCACGTTGCGCAAGGCAGGTAAGAAGGAAAGCAGCCCCGCTTTGGCTACAGAGTGCATGCCCAATCGCTGTGACCACAGCCGGCCGTCGCTCATCAAACCTTCGCATGCGCCATGTTGCATGCTTCGCGTCGCACTTCCAAACAGAACATCTGCAAACATGTGCCGAAGTCGCCGGTAGTGGCATGGCACAAGAGAAATGACAAGAAGGCTGAGCAATGAACGCCCACCGAACATATCACAATGTGCCTGTGTCAGCTCTCAAAACACCGACGAAGTACATTGATACTGGGCCAGGACACTGAGCAATGTCACGTATCAGCTGCACCGGCAAGGCCTCCTGGTCTTGGACCTCAGAGAAGAAATAGCACAGAGAGAGAGAGAGAGAGAGAGGGAGCTGGCTGTGAACATGGCCGGCGAGGATCAGTTTAGCACCACGCAGGCCAGCGAGAGAGCTCAGAGAACAAACAGGTTGCGGTCAAGCTTCAGGATGCCCATACATTCATCACCATTTGACGGGAAAGGTTGCACCAGAAGGCTCTCTGGAGTCTAGGGGCTCTAACGCAGCTCTAACCTGCGGAACCTCAGAAGCTTCAAGACAATGATAACATCTTGGCTTCGGCGTCAAGCAGCTCAATTATCCGTGGAGCCTCTGTTGTCCAAAATCACTGTCACTACAAGAACTCTGATATATAAGGCATACCTGAGGTATAGATGTGGTATAGATAACGTATATATAACGTATAGGTAAGGTACATATCTGCTACAGGCGTGGCAGAAGGGCAGCTTCCCAACCCTGTCTTGTTCGCTGTGCGGACCCTGGGCCTCACGTGGCGGAAAATGTGATCTCTCTCTGCTCGCTCGCGTTTCTTCTTCTTCTTCTTCTTCTTCTTCTTCTTCTTCTTCTTCTTCTTCTTCTTCTTCTTCTTCTTCTTCTTCTTCTTCTTCTTCTTCTTCTTCTTCTTCTTCTTCTTCTTCTTCTTCTTCTTCTTCTTCTTCTTCTTCTTTCTTCTTCTTCTCTTCTTCTTCTTATTCTTCTTCTTCTTCTTCTGCTTCTTCTTCTTCTTCTTCTCTTCTTCTTCTTCTTCTTCTTCTTCTTCTTCTTCTTCTTCTTCTTTCTTTCTTTCTTCTTCTTCTTCTTCTTCTTCTTCTTCTTCTTCTTCTTCTTCTTCTTCTTCTTCTTCTTCGTCTTCTTCTTCTTCTTCTTCTTCTTCTTCTTCTTCTTCGTCTTCTTCTTCTTCTGCTTCTTCTTCTTCTTCTTCTTCTTCTTCTTCTTCTTCTTCTTCTTCTTCTTCTTCTTCTTCTTCTTCTTCTTCTTCTTCTTCTGCAGGGCGCTCTCTCTCTCTCTCTCTCTATCTCGCTCTGTCTCTCTCTCTGGCTCTCTCAGGTGGCAAACTGTGCCATCATCCCGAAACACCTAGAGTGTCAGGAGCACTTTTTCGACAGAAGCTGAGTATGGCGGAGGGCAAACTGCGTTGCACTGGGAGCTGGGCCTGCGGTGTGGATGTTTAAGGATTCCTGGACTCAGCTGGGGGTTCAAGGGGCGTTTTTAGCATCCGCAGAGCTGGACGAACCACTCCGCAGGACTTCTGGATTGGTCCACTACATTAAGGCTTCTTTGTTGCCTGGGTTGGGGGTCTATTGGATTCTAGGGTTTGGGGCAGTTGGAGGCTTTCTCGCACTGTTCCAAACACTCCGTTCTCCCAGCAGTTCGAATTTTGCATGACCACACGATGCTTAGAACGCGTGGGCGTTTTCCCGTGACATCATGGCTATTGACAAGCTGTCACTCGTGAGTGCTTTTTACACGTGGCGCCACTCTTGCACTTTTTGGGCGGGATCAGCGACTGCATCTCGACCTTCGTACCATCTCTAGTGTCCAAACTGGTAGTGCAGTGCTGGTGGCTGCCAGGAGCTGGGGGTCATGTGCGAACTGTACTGGAAAGAGCACCTGCTCAACTCTCTCGTTCGAGATCGTTGCTGAAGGCAGGGCTAGGACAGTTTGCATCTGAACTAAAGAAGGGAAGCTCACCGATCGGAGTCCGACTCCGAATCTGATGAATCGGAATCCTTGGCAAAACACTCGGGACGTGCAGGTGCGCAGCTTGCTTTCTTTAACGCTGCGTGGTGAGCTGTGGTGAGTCAGACACTGGGAGGGTTGCCCCCCCCTCCATCTGCAGCGGGCGAGGCTTGACAAACCATACTGCATGGGGATCGTCACACACATACACATCTGCATGCCGAGAAACAAGGACAGAGACAGAGAGAGAGAGAGAGAGCGAAAGAGGGAGAGAGAGAGGGAGAGAGAGAGCGAGAGAGACAACACTGACAGACCAGAGACAGAGACGGAGACAGAGACACAGATAGAGACACTGACAGGGACAGAGCCACATATAGAGACAGAGACAGACAGACAAAAGTCAGACGGATAGAGAGACAGACAAAGAGACAGACAGAGAGACAGACAGAGAGACGGACAGAGAGACAGACAGAGAGATAGACAGATAGATAGGCAGAGAGACGGACAGATGGACAGAGAGGCAGACAGATAGACAGATAGACGGACAGATAAGCAGACAGGCAGACAGACAGATAGACAGGGACAGACACACAAAAAAAATATCTGAATTTCGAGCCCGACGGATGCCATGCATGCTCCACCCATGGGCTTGTGCCTTTCGCAACAGTGGGGAGAAATCGAGCTGTGGCTCGGTCTATTAGATTCTATTACAACAGGTTGCAGCAGGCCATCCTCATGGCTGCGGGTTCTATGTCACCTTGTGTGGCTTACTAAGCTGCTTGCACGAAGCTCTGCATCAACTGCTATCGCCTATGCATCTCAAGGTGCAGGGCGAGCAGGGCCAGCAGCTGCTGAAGCACCACCGCGTGTACTTGCCTGAAGAGCCAGGAAGAATTTGGCAAGGTCAAGCGCTTGCGGAAAGCTCGGGCTACTGAAGGAAGCAAGCACCGCCGGTTCCCCACTGCTCCATCATCAGCCCCCTGCCGTTTTTAGGAGCTAGCAGCTGAAGCCGCACCACAGGACAAGGAAGACAAGAAGACACGACTGCCAACTCAGCAAAAGTGCCAGTAGTGACTTCGCAGCGACTGGCCGTGGTGGTGGGCGAGCTGCAGCCGCAACTTTCGCCGCAGCTTTCGCTGCCGGCTTCGGGCTCGCTGCCGACTTCGGGCTCGCTGCCGCAGCCGGCTTTGCTTGGGCAGACGTCGGAGATGAGGATGGCGAGGCACCCGCATATACGGGCAGATTCGCTTGGGCAGATGCTGGCTTGGACGGCAAGGCACCCCGCGGTGCACGTACCACCTTTCGAGGCGCACTGGCCACTGCGCTGGAACTTCTCGGAGACACCACCTGGATCAGGCAGCCACATGCCTTCTTTGAGATATCTGGCATGCACAGGCCTGCGGCAGGTTCGAGGGCGACGGCAGGTCGGCAACTACCTTTGCGAATCAAGGAACTCATCAGGCAAAGACTTGGCACATGTCGCAAGGGCAACCTAAACCTGCACCATAAGCGAGCTGACATCCATTGCAGCCGTCTGCAAGAGTTCCAGGGTCCAGAGGAGATTCAACCCGATTTGACCACAAACCAATTCAAACTTGCATCGCTTCTTGACAAGAGTCTATCTTTTGGGCTGGCGCCGTGGGTTCTTGTTCTCCTGGCGAGTGCAACCAATGAAGCGACCGTCAGCACATGTTCTCAGACTCTTCTGGGGTTGCCGAGGCTCCCCAGTTCTGCTTACCGTTATACTCTCCCAGTAACCAGCTACAAAGTCGGGTCTCTTGAGCTCTTGAAAAGCCATGGCCATGCCTTCATTCGGCACGCCTGTCGACATGGAGGCTGCGGTCGTTGGCCCCACCTGGATAGTGACAGACTGGATGGACAAAACGAAAGAGCAACCTGGAGAACCCCTGGCAAAGAGGTTGCTGAAAGAGCTGCAAGCACCCGCGCGGCTATGACAGAGATATGGCAGCTCAGCAGGGATTACATTCAACTCCTTATCCTTTCGCAAGTGGCAGAGCTGTCGGCAAGAGGTTGTCGCCGTTCATCTCCTGCACAAGAAAATTCATCTGGGCTTCCCCATGGAAACTCAGCGGCCCCAGGCAAGCGTTCTCAGTACTTGCATTCAAGAGTTGCAACAAGCAATTACAGCACGGCTTCATGCGGGCCGCTCACTTTACATGCAGCCACACTCTGGCATGCCAGTCCACGGCAATCGATCCCAGACTAGAAGTCCACATCTCTCTTTATCTGCGTGTTTGTGGCGAGGGCTGTCCTATGCTTGCTCTTGTGTCTGAAGGCTTCTGTGCGGCTGTCCGATAATTCTACTACGGCGACTGCTGCCCTATTCCTCCCATGGCAGACGGCGTCCTGCGGGGACCTCGGCCACAGCATGGAGCCCACCATTCGGGCGCTTGATAGCCGTGGCAGTGGTTTGTACCGCCTCGGGACGTAGATCGGGCGCAGCTTCACTCCGTGCTAGATACAAGCAAGGCATCGGCCCAGACAGCCCAATATCCCTCAATTAAGGAATATACCAATAATCAAGATAAGGCCGTTAGAATTTACAATTATATTCCTTAATTAAGGGGTCTTGGGCTCTCTGGGGGGCTTCTCCGAGGACAAATTCGGACTCTCCCGCCTGGTCTCTGACGGCAACCATTTGGACCTTGTGTTGTGGCACATGGACCAGCTGGATGCCTCTGAGAGCCCTCCGAGGCTCCAGCTTCATTTGACCCGATGATCTCCTGGACAGGTTCTTTCAGCGCGAGAGAAACACGAAAGTAACTAACAACGAGTTCGCGGCCTGTTCGTCAGGGATGCCTCCAAGAGCCTCCATAGAGCCACCTCCGGGCATTGCACCGACATCTGGTTCCACACGTTCCGCAACACGCAGACGCAGTCACGGATGCAGCTGTGGGTGGCCAGTCCTTCGATTTCTCCATGACCCTTGCTGTCCTTGCCAGCATGATACGGCTGACGGGCGACGCATGGCTACAAAGACACGACAAAGCAGAATCTGCACCCTGTCTCATCCGCACCTTCAGCATGGGTTGGGGTTGGGCTGCCGGATCTTTCAGCTTCTTGTCATGCAGGATACGTTGTACCTCTTCTACCTTGCGCGACGTGGACGACTTCAAGCGACATGCAGCAGTTTAAGCTCAGCGGGCCATCAGCTGATTCTAAAAATCTATTTCACACAACACAAAGCCGGCAAGCTGCCAGGCGAACGCCTTCTGTTGCGCCGATCTTGCCCAGACGTTGTGTGACTTCCAATATGTCGTCAGGGCCCACATAGAATAGGTGTTCCAGGTCCGAGGTATATTCCAACATGGACTCAACCTCTTGTTTCCACTTCTTGTAAATCCTATCTTTAGGAGTCTTCGGTGGCACCCTTGTAGCTGTGGTTGAAAGAGCACAGACGATCTGGACAGCATCTGCTGGCAAGTAGGTCTGGTCGAACTCATCCAGCCACATGGACGAAAACTCGGATAAAGCCTGCCAGTGTGTATACACTGTATTCATCCGTGCATTCATCCGTTGCAGGGGGTGTTCAGAAGTATTCGGTAAAGCAAATGAAAGCAAGCGATCAAGAGAAAATGGTGCCTTGACGATGACTTGTCGCTGGACGCCGGACCCAAACCGCAGCACCGCAGCTCGAGCTGCCTTTGCAGACGCGACCTCAGACACGACAACGCGCTTGCAAGACTCTGTGCGAGAAGGCAGCAGCGGTGACAAGCACACAACGAAAAAAAACAACAACACAACGAAACGTCAAAACCGCCGTCGCTTCCACCCAGAATGCTGCTGAGGAACTATTCTTGAGCGAAGACCCTTCGAGGCCTCTTGCTTTGGTGCCAGACTGACCAACTCCACGTGGGGTTTGCGGATGGACCACCTGACATACGCCCGAAGCACGGAGCGACTTCTGGCATTGTCCCTCCAAGGCTGGGTTCAGCGGCGCAGAGGCGAACACGTAGCAACCCTTGAAAGTCTACGAAGTCAACACAAACACGCGAACGGGAGGTCTGCAGCGCGGGCGCGCGCGCGCGGCACATCTATGCAGATCCGAAGCGATCTTAAGAGCGAAATGGAGAACACACGCAAACACAAACACAAACACAAACACAAAAACACAAAAACACAAAAACACAAAAACACAAAAACACACACACACACACACACACACACACACACACACACACACACACACACACACAAGCCCGTCAGAACAGAACGGTCAACCCAGGGACCGCTGTTGCAGTTCGGCTCCGACCTCGGATGCGCCTTCGTTTCGGGGTGCTTCCGGCTGCCGTTTTGTGCTGAGCAAGAGTCGCTAGACCCCAAAGACATGGCTTGCGCTTGGGAGCTAGCCACGAGAGGCATCCAGCACCAATAAAAAACGCCAATGCCATCCCAAAAAAAAGTTTTGCCCGTGGATTCGGATATGGGAGTTGTACGAAAATAGGGGATCCCCAATCTAGACCCCAAACAATCGGATCCCCTTAAAATAATCAGGACCCCAATAAGGTACCCCTAATATGTAAACCCCCCATATTGGGCAACTGCAAGCTTAGCGGCACACCGCCAGAATCCACCAAAGGACCGAGAAAGCAGAAAAGGCTTAAAATAGTTTCTCGAGGAGGAGGAAGCACGGGCACAGGGCAGAACTCACGAGCGTTTCTGCAGTCAGCGAGCTGCAATCCAAACCCCTCACCAGGCAATTGCGAGCCAGCGACCAGGGGAGCCGTCACGCGTCAGATGAGAATTCCATGCCTGGCGCTTGGGGGGCACAGCATCGGGCAAAACAACGGCGGAGCATTGCGACAGTCGGCGAAGTGCCAGGCCCAATGCATATGCGCAACATCGACCCGTGACGTAAGAAGCCACTGCGGATTAATCGAATTGTCGCCACGTGTTCTCTCGTCGAGAGCGTCGGAGATTGATAAGATCAGCGGATTGTAAGTTAGACCGCCGGTTTGCAGAATCGAGCACCACATCAAAGCGACCGACCCAAACCAAAAGACTAAAGCCAGTGGCCATCAAGCGACTTTCAGGAGAAGGAACCGTCGGGCACACAACTGACATCCGATCAAACCCTAAACCCTAAACCCCCACCTATTTTTTGTAGGGTCCCCCACCCTTCCCCAAATAGGCGCCCCACCTATTCCAAATAGGTGCCGCGGGGGGTAACCCCCCCCCATCCACCTATTATTAGGGGGGGGGGGGGGGGGGGGGGGGGGGGGGTTGAAAAACTCTCTTGCCCGTGTCTTGCTATAAGATTCCTACTAATTTTCCTGGGGTTCGCATTAGTTTGGCAAATTCCTTGGTTTTCCCTGGGAAAAACGGGTTTTGAAAGCATTCTGATGTTTTTCTTTTAATGCAAGTTCTCTCTGAGCATGAAGTTCGCAAACGTGGCGGAAAAATAGTTAAACAGAGAGGTTTTCCTCGGAGAAAATACAGGTTTTCCTAACCCCGCCCCCCCCCCCCAAAAAAAAAATCAAAAATAAATAAATAAAATATAAAACATCGAAAACAAAAAATCTATTTTAAAAAAAGACACAACCTACATTAGGAGCCCTCCTGGCGTTGAGAGCCTCATGTCCGAAAGCATGGATTTCAGACCCTGCTAGTTCCTGGACGCTAGACCCTCTAGTGCGTGAGGGTATCATACATACCGCAATAAATTTAAGTATACATATAAAAAATAATATATGAATATAAGAATAAATACAAATATAAATATAAATACAAATACAAATACACATACAAATACAAATACAAATACACATGCAAATACAAATACAAATGCAAATAAAATACAAGTATCGCTATAAATATAAATATAAAGTAAATATAAACATAAATATGTCTATATATATGTATATGTATATATAAATATAAATATGCATATACATATATATATATCTGTATATGTATATATACATATATATGTGTATATATATATACATACATATGTATTTATGTGTTTTCACATTTCTTATAGTTATCTATTTATTTATATCTCCATTTGTGTTTATCTGGGAGCCGGGTCGACGGTTGTCTGTATCAACTCGAAGCGCTCAGACACTGGAGAGCTTGTTGCTGCCACGCCACGCAACAACGTACTTCTCATCTTCGGACTCTTGCAGGAAGAATGTAGCAGTTCGCAAGACCGATCGCTTTATGCCGCCTTCAGGGCCCGGCAGACATTCCGAACTAAACCTTTACTAACAATGATAATAATAATCATCATCATAAAAATTAAGAATAATAATAACAATAATAATAATACAATGATAATAAGAATAAGGAGAGTAAGAAGAAGAAGAATAATACGATTGCAACCTTACATGCCTGGGCCCCTCTTGTCACTACCCGGGCCAGGCTCATAAGCACGGCTCATCCCAGCCTACGACGCGCATGATGCAACTTTGTTTGCGTCTCCTTCTGGTTGACGTGGGAGTTGTGGGAGACAAGCCGACTTGCCGCTGCTCCTCTTCTTCGTCACTGTCCTCTTCCTTTCCTGCCGTCCGCAGAAATTGGGCGGCAACATGCAGCGCAAAATAGCCACAGACCACAGCTAGGAGGAAGGCCAGAAAACCTGCCAAAACCCAGGTCATCTCCGGCGACGGGTTGAAGATCAGCATCACTGCCACCATGCTGAAAAGGATGAATCGGAAACTCAAGAGGCACATTTCCAAAAAATCGAGGATTTCAGCCTGGCTGTTCGTGAAGGGCCTGCACCATGCGCAAAGCGTCAACTGCACGCCCGACCAAAAAGGGAAAATCAATAACTTCGCTTTCTCGTCGTTTGCAAGGTTTGTGTAGGTGATGATGTTCATGATTCCGATGTCCACTCGCTTGACAATGATGTCCCACCACCTAGGTGATGGACAAGCAGACATGCTGTGCTGGAGCATCAAAGCCTGCGTTATGCATGCCAGGACTGCTTGCCCTCAAACCCTGAAACGACTCAGATCGGCACCAATAGCCGGGCTCGAAGCCCTGAATGAAGTATCCATACTTTCGGTAGTTCTCCGGGCTCTGCCGGTCATACAAGCAGTAGATGCGGATGAATAGCATCACAGGCACACCCAGGCACCACACGCCGAGCCCAATGCAGGCAATCAAGGCCAGGAGGAAGTGGTCGGGGCCCCAACAGACCACTTCGGGGTGCGAGCGCAAGCGCTGCTTCATGATCTGCAGGCCTGTGGACGGATCATCCTCCGGTATCGCACGGCACCGGATCATCTGTAGGAAGCTGGAGAGGAGCTCTGGCCACCTTGGTAAACTTCTTACTATTATTATCATTATCATTGTTATTGTTCTTGTTCTCGTTATATTATTGTGATTATTATTCCCGAAGATACTGCCCCCAAAAAAAGGTAAAGAGCAAAGTGCAGATGAGATGCATACCAATCAGCGTCACCCAGAAAACAGGGACACATTGAAAGAAGAGCCTTCCAGGTCTCGGGTATGAAGTGAAAAGCCCAAAATTCAAGGATTCCTGGGCCAAGGCGAAAAACCATCGCAGAACGCGGGCCAAGGCTGCGCATACCCCTCAAAAGCTGGAGTTGACTGTGACTTGAAGCTTGATCAAGGCAAGGCTCGGGATCAATTCCCTCCAGCTGGGCACCCGACTCGACTGAATGCTCCAACTTCACGGCCATCTTGAAAATTCGAGTGTGGCTCATCGCCCTTGCGAGTCCCGAGCGGCTCATCGACTTCGTAAGTTTACCGAAATTGCCAGAGAAACCGTGACTGATGCCGCTGATCCCATGACTGATACCATCAGCTGCTTCGTGTTCTCCGGGATGCTCCAAGGCCTGCATCTGCTGATGCCTCCCAAACGCTTGCCATATGGTTCATGACTCACACGACATGCATGGCCCAAACACAAACTGTCAAGACCATTGGACAAGCTTGCAGCGCCTCAGCTCCCTGCATGTACCGCGAACTAATGAATTGAATTCTCTCCATTCGGCCTGACTTCATATGACAACGAATGCTTACAGTGTTCTCCTTGATGCACGCATACCACCCTCTGGAAACATGATTACGCAAAGCCATGTCGAATCACTGCACATCAGCGGGCACGAATTCTACCAATGGACCTGACGAAGAGCTGGGTGGAAGATTGCTAAAAACTGAGCAGGGCGACTCGCTTCCGCAGCAGTTCCGAGGGACCATCGCACTTCGCAGCCACCTCGGATCAATTTCAGGGTGGCCCACTCCACGTGTGTGAGGAGGCGCTTCCATCGGCATGGGCTGTTCAATGTAAAACCCAAAACCACTGTAGCTGCGGCACTGCCAGCACGACATCCTCGAGGAGGACGTCCATTTCATTGGCTTCATCCTGGAACTCGTGGCGGAGCTTCCAGGCCAGACCACGAACTACCTGGCCAATCAACGCAAGAACGCAAGCAAGCACCAGCAGCTGCAAGACTGCGGTGGCTTTCTCACGGACACACCCGCTTCTACAACTGATGTCACAAAGGAACTTGTTTGCATGCAACAGCCCTACGTAAACTCGTGGGGCCACACAGGTTTCGATCATGCTCGGCGGCATCCTCGTCTCCAAGGAATAGGAACGAAAAGCTGCTTAGGGAGCCATCGATACACATGAGACAGCAGATCAGCAAAACATTCATGGCCAAGTTGCCCATCAAAAACTGCACGTTGCAAGCCTGGGAGTACCAAAGACTGAGCGAGCGTTCAGGACGGCTTGCATGATGGAACAGATGGAAGAAACATCCTCTTGCCAATCGCGGATCTTCCCTCGAGTCTACATAACGCACTTGTTGAGCCGTGAAGCAGCTCGACAATTCAGACTCGGTAAATGCGTTAGTTCGCAATTGCGTGTGTTTTGCAAGCTTCCCTCACGGATCTATCACTATTAGGCCTCTATCCCAGCATTCCATCTCGATTAGGATATATCTCACTTGTGTTTGCCCATCTAGAATTCTGTCCTCTGAAGCTCTGTCTCGACCAGAAGCTAGAACTTTCCCCGCCAAGTGGGATTACTTCAATCTTGGCTAGGGTTCTATCTCAGGCAAGGGTCCACATCAGGTAGGATTCGGTTTAAACAAACTGGTTTCTGTTCTCTTGTCCATACATCGAAAATTCGTATGATTCTACAGAGGTGGCTCTTGCAGGTGAGGGCGAGGGAGATGCGTGCCTAAGCAAGTTTACATACTTCTATATGTATATACGCACATGGATTATGTATGTGCATACGTACATGTATGTATCTGTGCGTGCATGCTCGTACATATGTATATGTATGCATACACACACGCACACACACACACACATACATACATACATACATACATATATATATATATGCGTGTGTATATATATACACATACACACACATATATATATATATATACATATATATTTATATTTATGTATTTATTTATTTATTTATTATTTCTATTTGTACACAAATACTTATATACATATATATATATATATATATACATGTGTTTGTGTTTGTCTACGCAGGTGTACACAAATGTGTATGCGGGTTTTGCCCTTGATATATGATGATATATGTTCATGCAAAAAGGTATATGCTCACGTAAAAAAACGTATGGAAAGCTAGAATGCAACCAGAAGGGGTTGGCATGGCGGCATGACCGGTTTATGGTGCGGTGAATATTGGCCTGGGAAAAACTGTATCTGGACAGGAAAGCTGCGGATTGAGCGTTAGACCCCAAGCTTGAATCCTCAGAGGAATGTGGCAGCTTTTCCTTTTGGAGCGTGAACCGTAGGATAATTCTTGTACCACATTTAGCCGAATCGTGTTGGACCTCCAAGATCCTAGCCTACAGCCAAGCAACTTCCATCGTGTATGCCATGCCCGACGAGATCCAGGTTGTTGGATACGTCTTGCCATGTCAAGCTCGCGTCGTCACAAAGACTGACCTTAAAGCGTGACACTGCATGACACTCGCTTAGTAGTGGAAACCTGTAGCTATATAAAGTTCAGCTCCAGCTGCAAAAAGAGGATGCTCACGCGCTTTGTACAAACCTCCGCTCATCTCATTCAAGGAAGCAAAGCAGCAATGCCACAAGTCAGTTCCATACTCGGGTGCCAGCACATTTTTAAGGCCAGCTTTCTTTCGCCAGCTAATTTGCCTGCATGCAAACACAGCCTAGTCAAACGGCAGTGACGGCTCCCTGACAGAACAGTCAGCAATGCTCCCCTAAACCCTAAACCCTAAACCCTAAACCCTAAGCCCTCTCTAGCTGTCCTGAGATGAAACTTTCCGGATCTTCGGCATCATCGTGCAGGCCACCGGTTGTCTCTCCGTCGAGGACTCCTGACTCCTGCATCACCCGGTCTCAAATATCCTATAATAGCCGCAAGTCAAGTACTTTTTCAGCAGAAGCCTGGACCCCGGACGTCGCAACCTGCTGGGCAAACTTCGGGCAAACTCGTGGCGGTTTACATTTGCTGTCGGAACACACAGCTGTTGTGGCCTGCAGGCAGGGCCCCCCCCCCCTCCCCCGCTCCCCGCTTCCCCCCCCCCCCCCCCCCCGCTCCCCCCCCCAAGTATTTCAGGGTTACGCGTGTGAAAGCCTACATGCATGTAAACGTAGTCTTTTCACGAACCCTTGAACTGGCGTGGTCAGACTGATCATGTGTTGACGAGGCAAATCTGCCACGCTTGCCGTAAACCTGGCTTAACCCTGTAGATGTCCGCTTCCAGGCTTTGGAAGATTGGGCACCATGAGTTGCACATGGACGGTCCACCTAGCACATTGACGTCACCCGTGTCTGTTCCGTGCAGCATCAGCATCAGATTCGCTTCAGCATGCGTTGCTGGAAATCCTGTCCCCGCACACGCACACTTGTTCGCCAAAGCTGGCAACAGTCTGGTGCGAGAAAGGCTTTGGCATTGGACACCTTAATCCCGCACAAACCCTGTCATCAACACTGGCGCGCGCGAAATGTGGCATTTGTTGCACACGTGTGCCTAGCTGCCTGCACTTGCTTGCGAGATATAAGGTTGTGTTGCTGGCCATGTGTATTTGCTGATGGGATGTAGTTGGGGTAGGCGTGCGATTATTGTGTCATCATGTTGCATATGTTCTGGTTCGCGTGGCAAACTTGTCTTTGATGGTTTCATGGGGACATGCTAGTGCCTGATACTAATAGCATGTTCTCACAACTTTCACATCTGAGGACGCCATATGGTTGTCCGAGATGGTGCATAATGGCATAGTGACTCAGAGCTAAGAGCTACCACGCTACGGTGCATGTCCTCTACATCTTGCCAGGTCAGGCCAACCTCCTCCAAATGCTTCTCCATAGCCCTCTCCAGAGCCTTCACGGCCGTCTGGCGCTTTCGCGTCTTGTGGCCGAAGTCATTCAGTTCAAGGCCACACTTGTTCAACAGCGGAATGAGCATGTAGACCACGGCGGCGCATATCAGGAAGACCCCCAGCATTGCCAGCAACGGGCTGCTGACGTGATACAGAGCGGGCGCCAGATTCTTCCTCGGCCCACGGGCAAAGAAAGCAGAATACCACAAGGCCGTGAGATGCCGTGAAAGCCAACAAAGCCGGTTTGTTTGCTCTCAAGTCGAATCCTAGGCTCGCAATCTTGTTTCCAGGTAGCAGCCTTTCTGCGTGGCACTCTGCCGACATCGCAACAGTGGCCACCTTTGGCCTTGGTACCGTGTGAACTGAAGACAACGACAACGTGCAGGAGGTTTCAAAGGAAGGGCATGTTGAGAACCTCTGAGTTCAGAACATGATCTTCATGAGCTCAAAAACACCGTCCATTGCCCTTGTGACTTCTTCCGGCCAAGGAAACTCGAGGCCCTGGAGGACACGAGAATTGACGAGAACTGACATGAGATGACAGGAATTGACGTGAGATGCTCTTTTTCAATCTGCTCTTTGAAAGCGCGCCTGTGAGCCGATTGGGCAGTCCTGGACCGTGATGTTCGCTTCTGCACATTCTCGCAGCTGCTCCAACTCCTTCTGTTTTTCGGACCAGCCAAAGCCACCAACTGATCCAAGGTCGAACTGCGTCAACACGGAGCCTTGTTTTTACGTTACACAATCAGCTGACAGCCATGGCGACAGCTGACAGCAGCCTCTTCACTTCACAGAAGCTTCTATCTGGGTCTGTCTGCATCTATCAAACATCTGGCCCGTACCTGCCTCACTCAGTCGGCGGCAAGCCATGCAAAGTCGAGGCCACAAAGTGTCACGAAGAACACATAACGCCAAGGCACACGCTGCCAGCCACTGGGTACCAACGCCTTGCTTTTCTCTAATTCACAATGAGAGATGCCGTGCGAATGACAGCACACCGACTTCCCGGCTTCGAGTTGCCAAACTGGTGCGCCCAGGCACGGATCATGCTAGTGTGCAACTTGGTGCCTCCCTTAACAGCTGCCGTGGCAGCCATTACCGCTACTGCAAAGTTCAGGACCGTCTTCGTGAAGACATCGTTGAGAACTCCCATCTCGGCCACGCACTCACATGGAAGGAAGCAGACCGTCTTTGTTCGGGGCTGGCAGATAGTCATGCGAAACGGCTCAATCGAGATCTCTGCTGAAAGAACTATTGGAAAACAATCATGCCTCGTATGGTAGAGATGGTAAGGGCGCAGCAGTCACAGCGCTGGCGGGATCATCGGGGCATCGAGAGCACAGCTCAGGATAGTCGTCTCTTGCCCAGCCATCAGGGCACTCGCCACACAGGAGGCCAGTAGAGCCTAGATGCCAAAAGAACTGCAACGCGTCGCCACATCGAACTGGACTCAAATCAGAACAGATGCAGGCCTTCTGAACAATTGTTGCCTGAGCACAAGCGGAAATGCATTTCCTGCGCCCCTACACGAAGAGCAGGTGCCATGCAGGAGGTCACTGGCTGCACCCACCCTATGAACTGCATCAAAGGTGCCCTTGGTTCCATGGCAGGACTCGGGCACCATTAACCCGATCCGCTGTGCGGAACACGCCTCACCGCCTCCACACGCAGAGACCTCCTCCACTACGAAGACATCGCACGCGACGGCTGATGTCTCACCCGTTTGGTAGAAGCCCACCCTCAGGTGTAGGCTGAACTGAAACAAATCTGCCAACCAATACACCTTCAAGTCTAGAACTGTAGAACCATGTAAAATCATGTAAACTGAACGCACTGACAGAATAAAGAGACCGAAACACTAACAAAATAACTTAATAACAAACAGACCAAGACCAGAGGAGAGCAGCTCTGCAATTGGCTGCGCATGAGTGCGAGGCACGGACGCGCCACTTGTCAGTGTAAGGTTGGCTCCCTCGAAGCCGCCACGACAGGCCAGGCCCGTGTAATCACAGAGCGCACATCTGGCCAAACTGCCCGTGGAAGCATCGGTTAGGGCATGGAAACCAGACTGGCAGTAACAGTCGTCCAGACTTGAAGCGCCCAGCTGACTGTCTGCGCTAGTGGGGCAAGCTAAGGGGCACTCCCCATTGCCGATGTTCGGCTTGTATTTTCCATGCTGGCAAGGTTGGCATAAAGACTCATCTTGAACCGAATAGAAGCCTGCCATGCAAATGCAATCTGTGAGTGACCGGCCCACCGATGTCGTTGTGGAGTTCCTGGGGCACTGGATTGCCTCCCCAGTGCCGGGGCAGTAGTACCCGAGCATGCAGACGGCGCACTCCCCGCTGGCATCTCCGTAAAGACCCACCTGACGAAAGATGTCCGTGGCTACAAACCGAAATCCCAAACCACATCACACAAAAAACTACTCCGCAAGTAGCCACCACTAGCTGACCCAACACTGGGGGCTGCTGTTGAGGTTACCCACCTGGCATTGGCACTCGGTAGGAGATGTGGCTCCAGTTGCGAGAGTTGACATCAAGTCAGGACATCGTGTGCAGGACACGTCGCCCACGTCCGCCTCGAGAGCACAAAGGAATCCGGCTTGCTTGCCCTCTGCACATCGCATGGTAGGCTTTGTGACTCACGCGACTAGCAGGGAGCTTCGCGCATACTCTAAGGATGAAATCAGCACGTACATGAAGGCGCCCTGCCTTGTATCTTCCTAGTTCACATAAAACACAAGTCATCGAGGCAGCAACATAGCCGTAGCCAGGACTGCATTCGCAATCACTCTCGCTCAGGACAGGAACTCCTTGCACGGTGAGTTCAGTGCACACCCACAAAGCAGCCATGGAAAAAATGATAGAACCTTGTAGCATTGTAGCAATCCTGGTGGCACAGACCGGCGTGCTGGACATTTCACTGAGGTTTCCATGATCTCTGGCACGCTGTCGACCGTCAGCTCAATGCCCGCAGCGCCCAGCGTCCTCCGCTGTTCCCGCTTATGCTAACAGCTCCTTAATAGACAAACGATAGGGATTATAATAGGGGGTACTATAACTATAACCCTATTAAAGACTGTTAGTATAAGGGGGAACATCCCAACAGGTCAGAAACAAATAGAACCATCGTTCATGCCTGGACAAAAAGTTCACGGCATGCAATCAAAGACCCAGACACAAAACGCTTACCAGGAAAAGTCGAAACTCGGATGCGACTCCACGGCACTTCCAATCTCTTTGGAGAGCAAGTCTACCTAATCGCACCGTTCAGCTCTGTGCAGCAACAGCCTTCGACATCGCTTCCACAAACTAGTGCCACCAGGAGGCATCCATATCGGCAAGAGTCAGAGCGGCCTCTTCGGATGTGCGCTGCTTGATGGTGATGACCACTATCACAGATCCCTGAAGCCGTCGGGCGGTCGAGTTGCTGGCCTGTCCTTCTTGCACAAAAACCTGTCAGCAGCATCGACACAGAAACACAACCTCACAACACAACCTGCACTTGCTGTGAGCCTGTCGCGCCAACGCTTGAGGCAAGGAGCAATTTGGATTGCATTCGGGTCCGCGCGAGTTGAAGCTGACAGTGTTGCGACGAACGTTGCCTGACGCATGAAAATGCATGAAACCCTAGCATTGCTCCGTGTCTCTTCCTATTGCATGAGAGGCAAAGCTGCCTTGAGCTGGTTTTTGAGTGTTTCCTCATCTCCATCTGCTGGCAGTTGGGACATGGTCATGTTGAAGGTGACTGCCGGCACCGCCGTTTCGTTCTTCAACTGTATCTGTGGCTGCGGCGAGATCGGCAAGTCCGTCACGTTGACAGCAGACTGGTTGGTCTCGTTGCTCACATTGCTCCCATTGTTGCCAGTGCTTGGACTTGAGCTGTCTGGGGTTGACGTGGGGATGGCACAGAACGACTCAAATCTGGCGCCCGTGCCGAATGTTGTAAAGCCAGCAGGACATGGAAGGCATGCTACTCCACTTCCGACCACGCTCTTGTACGAGCCCTTGCTGCAGGCACTGCAACTGTCATCTACAAGCTCATACCCGGCATCACATACGCAAGCTGATAGGGAAACCTTGGCTGAGCTGCGCCACACACTTGGCATACAGACTTGCATTTTCCTCAACAGAACAAACACCAATCAAGAATCAACCTAAGTAGATCCGAGCAACGGATCCCATTTCAGCGGTCGTTTCCCCAGAACCACAAATCACCCTTGTCGCCCTTTCAGGCCGGCCCCCGGCACAGTAGTACCCCCGCGTACAGGGCTCGCAAACTCGACCTGTCGGGGCACTCAGCATGCGTTCCACAACCGACCAAGCTGACTCTACTCACTCTACTCACTCTACTCACTCTACTCACTCTACTCACTCTACTCTCAACCCTGACCTGTAGCTGGCCCAATGGCATAACTTCCAGGCGGACAGTCGATTCGCAGAGTTCCACCCGGGGCTCGGAAAACGGAGAAGTCTCCGCATTGGGCATTGGCAGGACACCAGCAAATCTTGTAGTCACCGGCCATGGCCTCTGCAGGCAGCTCGCCCAGGCTGGCTTCCAATCCATTGCTGCCATCTACTACTGGGACGGAATACTCGAGTTGCGGGAAACCTCGCACACCCACGCCAGCAGGCTGCCCACATTCTCCATAGACGATCAAGACCTGGTCCCCAGCGAGCAACCCAATTCCAGACATCAGCAGCGTGCAGCTGCTGCCAGTGCTACAGACGGCGATCTGGTCAAAGGGCCCGCTTGCCGTCATGAGCCCGACTTTTGCTTGAAAGCTTTTTGGCCGTTCGCATGTCTCTCCAGCGCTAGGCCAAGGCCTGCAAAAACAAAGTCGGAAGATGCCCGGTGTTGACAGTAAGACGTCGCTGCTGTTCCCAACAAAAGCAAAGTCTTGGGCGTTGCTCGTCTCCATGATGCCGCTGCTTGGGAAACCAAGCAAGGCAATGCCTCGGCCGCAGTCGGAGAGAACCATGAGACGATCCCCAACCTCCATGCCGGCACCCTGAATGCCGAGCACCGAGCACGGCTGCCCAACAGAGCATCCGCTTTCTTGATTCGTTCGTGGGCCGACCACACGCAGACGGCCAGCATACACAATGAACTCTTCTGGAGAGGTGCATGCATTCTCGGCTCCTCGTCCACTTGCGCACCAGCACAGGAAATACCCAGAGTCGTCTACGTCAATGGAGAGGTAGTAGCTGGACACGTCATCAGACACTCCGAAACCCAGCGTTAACGACGTGGTAGATTCTTGTCGTTGCAGGTCACTCAAATTGCCGATCCCCTCAGTATTGGCGCTTGAGATTTCTGCCACTGCGGTGGTTCCGCAGGCATCGCGTCGTACGGACACGAGGTCTGCAGCAACTAGCTCAAAGCCAGAAAAAGGCAATAAGCCGACACAGTCCCGGCCACGTACGCATTCAAAGAAGTTGTCTGATGGGCCGGCAACCAATAGTTGCCCAGCTTGCGTAAGATAGTTCGCGTTGAGGTCGGTGCATACCAGTTGTTCCATGTTTGCACACCAACACAAGTTGTAGAAACCGCCTGATGGTGTAAAATCAGCCGGCAAATCACCCCACACGTACCTGCTGCCAGCTGCCGAAATCTTCGAAATTCCATCGTCCACAATGCCTGGTACTGCCACCTTCGCGGCCAGGCAACTTGCAGAAGCAATCCCCATACGATGTCCTGCCCGGAGACCATGACCTTCCAAACCATCCACAGCGCAGACGCGGCCTGAGACACATGTGCGTGCTTGGTCGGGATATGGGCGCACGCACGCAGAGCTGTCTGTCGATCCGGTCTCTTCTGTGGTAGTGCCACCCGGGCAGACACGACATGCCGTGTCAGTGTCAGCTCCTGTGTCGTTGCTCCAGGTGCCGATGCTGCAGAGCGCGCATGAAGCCAGCGAAGTTGCTGCACTCGTTTGAGAATAGCGGCCAGCTGGGCATGCTTCACATGATGCTGCACCCACTGAGGAAAACCGTCCAGGGTTGCAATCATCACAGGTGTCCTTGCCAAAACCTGAATATTTTCCGGCGGTACAATCCGTGCAAGGGGCATTGCCAACATCTCCCTTCAGCCGGCCAGGCGAGCATTCTTCACACTGGCCTGTGTCATTCAGGGTTGTTCCGGAATCACACAGGCACTCAGACTCGCTTCCTGCTGTGCTCGTGTCTGTTGTCCGTGATTGACTACATGGCTCTCTATGGTGGCCTCCCAGACAAAAATAACCGGAGTCGCATTCGAGGCAGGCTTCCGGGCCTGGATCTTCATTGACATGGTAACCAGCTGAGCATGTGCAAGCAGCATCTGAGACTGCACCCTGCTGCAGCGTCGTGAGAGGCACCTGCCCAGTAGGACAAGCCTCGCAACTCGTGTCCTTCACGGAGGACTTGAAAGTACCAGCGGGACAGCTCGTACAGCCTCCCAGTAGGCCACTGCTGCTGCTGTCTGCCGGCTGCATTCCATGAGGGCACACGCAATCCGCTAAGCTGGTCACATAGGACCCGGCTGGGAAGCCCAAACCATCTGGGCACTGTAGCACTGTAGCCTCTACGTCCGTTAGCTTCGTAAGATTGGCCAATGACAGCGCAGTCGCGCCCATCTCTGTGTAGATCCATGCTGCGAAAGCTGCAGGTTTAAGAAGACTGTGCATTTGATCTGCAAGCTCCGGATCGGAGCTCAAGATCTGAAAGTCCAAGCGCCAGTCTAGGACATTGCCCACTTCCAGCTCGAAGGAGGCACGCGTGTCCGAGCTCAGCTGGATGTGGCTCGACAGATCTGAACGGATTTCCTCCAGCAACTCCTCGGTCGAAGCATCCAGCACCATGATGGACCCATTGAAGGAATGTACAAGAGCAATGCTGGATGCAAAGAGAGATGATCCGTTCATGTAGATGTTAGAAAGATCGGCGAGGTCCTCGCACTGGAATACGCCAGGGTTCGGGTCAACATCAACCGTATGCCCGTCGCAGAAGCATTCCCTGATACTGGCTGCACCAGCTGCAGAGGTCGTCTGGGCAGGGCACTGTGCTGCGCACTCTTCCAGTCTGTCGACCGAGTTCTTGAAGGACCCCGCAGGGCAAGCCATGCAGGCACCCACAGCAACATCCACGTAATAGCCCCGGCGACACTTACAGCTGTCTACCTTGCTTGCTCCAGCATCAGAGGTGCTACCCGCCGGACATGCAGTTTTTGATACACCCCAGCCACCAGCGCAGTAGTAGCCCGGCGGGCACTGCTGGCATGTCTTTGAAACACCCACAAGTTCATACCAACCTGGTGGGCAAACCAAGTAGAGCGTCCATCCAGCAGCCCCGAAATGCCATGGAAGCGAGCAAGAAGGAACCCCAGGGTCAGGGTCCTGTGACCTCGATGAGCACCAGCACAGCTCGAGCTTCTCGGGCACGACACCATCCTCTAACTTCAGCTGCCCAAGGTTGAAACCGTAGCCGGCTCCGACGATCGTGACAAACAGCGGCAGCGGGCTCGGGAAGTTGGCTGCAGGGAGCTGCGACTTACAAGAAGCCATTGCCACAACCGAGTCCCTGGTCGACAAGCTCACGCCTTGGAAGATGGACAGCACGCATTCGGAGCCCAGTTCGCACTGCGCTGTCTGGCCAGAGTAAGGCCCTGTGGCGAGGAATAGCCCGATAGTTGTGCCAAAATCACTGGCGGAATCACAGGAAACTCCTGCGTCCGGATCTGGCCGGCACCAACACATTCGGTAGATCCCTGGCTCGGTGTTCAAGTTGCCAGAGTCGAAGATGAAAACGAGCCCGCCGTTTGTTGCGTCCGTATAGCCGGGGGAGGGAAAGCCTGTCAGAAAGCTGGAGTCTCCACATTGTGACAGGGCTGTGAGGCGGTCACCATCTAGGAGGTTTTCACCCCCGAGATCTAGAAGGACGTAGCAATACTGGCCGAGGAAGCACTCCACTTCTGCCCCTGGAAAGGGCCCTTCCAGGCTCAACATGCCAGCAAAGGTTTCCAGGTAGACGTCACTGGTACCGTCCACGCTCAAGTCCATCGTGCTACAAGGGGTGCCCTTGGAAGAGCACCAGCATAGACTGAAGCTCCCTGGCTGGTCGTTGACTGTGTAGTTGAGTCCAAACTCCAGGTCCACCTCACCTGACATGTCAGAAGCGACGGCAGACACCCAAAAGGGCACTCCTGCAAACCTTTTGGCTCCGTCCAAAGTGCAGCCAGCCCTTAGGTGCAGCTGGTCGTCAGCAGTCAAGCCAAGGCCTTTCAAAGTGCCACCATTGCAGACTCTGCCTCGGACGCAAGAGAAGGTCTGACCTGGATACGGCCCAGCTACAGCCAGGGTGCCCACCTCGAAGTCGTAGAACGAGTCCTGGACACATCGGACCTGTGTCGGCACCGTGAAGCCATAGAAGCCATACCCACCACACCAGCATAGCTTGTAGTTGCCAGGATCTGCCGAGATCGGATCGGTCCATGCCACTGTATAGTTGGTGGCTATCCATACCCGGGATGTGCCAAAACCATCTACGACCTCACCTGACTTCAGCCTCCTGAATCCAAATCCCCCGTATCCACCAAACCCCCCATCAGTGCCTCCAAAAAATCCGCCAGGGAGTCCACCATAGCCTCCATAGCTTCCTGGTGGAGCACCCCCATAGCCACCATAGCCACCGTGGCCTCCGTATGATGCGGTAAACTGCTGGTACTGCTCGAGCTGATCAAGCAGAGTAACGAGGGTATCCGGATCGGGCTCACATGTATCTTCCTTGACCTTCACTGCATGCACACTCGTGTCAAGGAGCCCAGGGCCTTGAGAAAAAACAAAAGAGCATGTTTTTCCGGCAATGCATTCAACCGACTGATTGGTACCAGGCTGAAGACAGGCATCCTCATGGTACGCGCCTGACGACTGAGTTTGCCCACCGGGACATTGAGAACACACGGATGAGGCGTTTGAGCCCGTTCCATTGTAGTACCGCCCGACGGGGCATGGTTGGCACACCCTGCTACCTGGCGTATCCGAATACCGTCCACCGGGACACTCCGTACAAGTCGCACTGGTCGTGTCAGAATTGTACCGACCTGGCTCGCAGTCAACGCAAAGCGTCTCGTTCTCTGTACGGCTTCTGCCTTGCCCGCAAGGGGCACAGTACTCGGCGCCTTCAGACGCATATGTGCCAGCTGGGCAAGGTTCGCAACCAGTGCGGTCGCTTGTGGGCTTGGATCCATCGGGACAGAGCTCGCAGGTTTCAAAACCTTCGAGAGAATATCCGAAGAAACATTGCCAACAATCCATCATCATTGGGGGCGCATATTTGCCTGCGACACAAGCCTTGCAGGCAGTCCGATCTGACCGCGGAACATAGCCTGCCTGGCAATACTCGCAACTGGAACTGCCCGCGGCAGACACCTGATCATACCAGCAATCGTCACAATACGATGCGTAATCGTTAGAATATTTGCCAGCGGGACATTTGCTACAATTGCTGCTGGCCAGTGTGTCGGAATACCGACCTGCTGGGCAGCCTTGACACTCATCCCCGCCCCTAGAATACTCGCCATACCAGCACTCATAACACTCCGACCCATACCAGCTGGTTTTCCCAGCTGCACAGTCGACACATTCCGTGCCATTCAGCGATGTTTTGCCAGTTGCGCACTCCGTACAGGCGGAAGACCCTTCTGCAGCGACAGTGCCCGACCAGCACTCCCAGCAGTTCAGCCCGTCCGGGCCTTCGTAACCCGCGGGGCATGGCTCGCACTGCGTCCTGTCACTTGAGGGCCTATAGCCGGCACTGCAGGACCCACACCGAATTGTACCTGGTGTCGCTGCAACCCCCTCAAAGCATGTATCGCAAAACAGGCTTCCTGGATGCGAGGCGTACTCTCCGGCCACGCATTCTGTGCAGGCTGCTGCTGCCAGTTGGTTGGAGGCTCGGCCTGGAGGGCAGGGTGTGCAGAAGTCCTCGTGCGCGTGAAGTTGCCATAGTTGGCCATCATCGGCCAGGTATGTCCCTTCTGCACAATCAGTGCAGTCCAATTGGCCTTGAGTATTGGCATACCTCCCTGCCGGGCAAACGACGCAGTTTCCCGGACTTTGCTCAAAGTAGCCATAATCGCCTCGGCTCTGCTGCAAAGGAGTACCAGCTAGCAGCTAGCACTATCACCGGCTTAACGCACAGCTTACGGCCACCAAAAACTGCAGCAAGCGCACTGCATTGAACTGAGCCCTGGGCATTGGCTTGAAACAGCACCAAGCTGTCCGAAGACAAGGAGCGCTGCTACAAGAAACATTCGTTTACATTGAAAGCGGCTGCGCAGTGCGCATCACTACGCATCATACATGCGGCTGCTGGGCCTGAGCCGCACAGCCTGCAGGAAATGCAACGGATATAACCGATATGAGCTCGAGGCTACGGGCCATAAGCCAAATATGGGCACGTGCGTCGCAGACTCGTAAGCTTGGCGAGGATGCTGAGAGCACATACTCGTTAAACTGAAAGTACATAGACCTCCGCTTCGTGCCAGAACTTGTGTGAGCCTCGCCTGACGTTCTAAAGCATGTACCGTCACCTGAGACTCTGAAGCTCTTGTCCTCACGTGAAGCTTGAAGTTTGTTGCTGCCTTTGCCTGAACAGCGCTGACGCTGTCGTCTTCGGCCAAAGTGCTGCCTGAAGCTCCGCAGCGCGCGCTTTTGCGTGAAGCCTCGCACCTTGCAAGACGGAAGCTCTGACGCCTTTGCCTTCCCCTGGAATGTTGAAGCTTTGGGTTTTTGCAAGCTTGTTGCTGCTGATTGAAGCCTTTGTCTTAGACTGGCGTGTTCAAGCCAGCTCTTCTCGGCCTTGTCAAGGGTGCCTGATAAAATGCAATGAAAAACCCTGGGTGTCATGTGTGTATATATATATATATACATGTATACGTATATATGTACACCATGCTGTCCTCACATGAAGCATGCAAGCCATGATGACGCCTTTCAAGGGGCAACAGATCATTTCACGGGAATTGGTCTCTCTCTTGAAAGCACGGCGAAGAGCTCAGAGAACATGCGGAATGCGTTGCTGTGCATTAGCACGGCAGCAACACCTTTCCAAAATGGAGCTCGGAAAGCTACGATCCTACACTGCGGCAGTCTCAACAATCATTAACGTTGGCCGTCTTCTGCGGCTGTCGTCATGTTAAATGGAAAGCACGGGCGCAAGCAAAGCAAGTCAACTTCGCTTGAAAATGCGCTAAAGGCTGTGGCGACAAGAGATCAAGCTGAACATATGGGAAGCCTCCAATGAAGGCCTGCTTCTGCCCACTCACGAGGTCAGGCTACAACGTGCATGCAGCCGCTCAATCATACTGCCGTCCGCCTTTCAGTGTCAGGCATCGGCGGAACCTGAAGCTCACCAAGAGTCAACCCTTGACAAGCCTGAATCCGACAGCCATAACCTTGACGCGAACCCGCATCCAACCAACAACAACAACAACCAGACTCAGCGTAAGCAGATGCCAGGGAGCTACGGAGCTCACCTCCGTATCCCTAGAAGCCGATACTGGCTGCCGAGCCTTCATGAGCAGCGAATGTTGGGCTTCCAATGCTCAGGTAAGCACTCATGTATCCGAGGGCTTCGTGGTTTGCTTGTGTGTTTGTCTGTCTGTGGTTGTTTGCTTGCTTGCTTGCTCGCTCGCTCGCTCGCTTGCTTGTGTGTTGTGTGGGAAGCTCCTCGAAAACGTCGGATGTCTATAGAGGGGCTGCAAAAGCCTGCAAAAACTTGGTTTTGGTTGCTATTCCCGCAAACACCGCGAAGGGTTCTTCGGAAAGAAACGACTGCCCTGTTCGCATCGCAACACATCGCAACAACTACACCGCACCAGGTACACCACGACAGTCGCCGCACTCCTGAACCAAAATGCATGCGGCGCTACCTCTTTTGTTTGGTCTAGGGCTTCCCATTCAAACACAGAAACAACTGAGGTTTTCCGACTAAACTACAAAGGAAATAGAGGTTTTCCTGTGAAGCAAAGTCTGCTGAAGAGCATACATACTGGAAATAGAGGTTTTCTTGCTAAAATACACAGGAAATAGAAGCGGAGGAGTGGGGGGGAGGGCGCAGCCCCCCCCCCCCATTTGCAAACACAATGGATGCGCATGTTTTCTTATCACAAGTACTCGTTCTATGGCATGATAACTTTTATCAAACAAGCTTGCAAGGCTTCAAGAGAAAACGAAGAAAACACAAGGAGGGTTGAGGCACAGACCCCACCCCATTTGCATGACGTGCTTTTGGAAAAGGATTGGCATGTTTCTGTACGCAAGTCCTCTAGCATGATCTTTGATAGAGCCAGTTTGCAAGGCGGGGGGATCCACCACCCCCCACCCCCGTTTGCAAACACGGACGAGTTTGGAAAAGGACTAATCCTTTTCAAGGCCCTCCCATTTCAACTCAAAATGCACGCATGACGGGCACGGAAAGGATTCGCATGTTTTCTTAACGCAAGTCCTTTTCTGGCATGATCTTCTTGTCAAGAATGCTTGAAAGGGGCTTGAAATGTGTGATTCTTTGTATATTCATCTATTTCTGTCTTCTTTAGTTCTTTAACATTTCTTTCGTTCTCTCTGTATGTGTTCTTTATTTCTTCTGTCATATTTGATCATTGCATTAGTTCTGTCGTTCTGTCTTTCTTTCTGCCTGTCTGTCTTTCTTTCGTTCTGTCACTCTGTAAACCTCTATTTCTCTATGCTGTGCCAGGAAACCTCCATTCCCCCTAGAATTCGCATAAGAAAGCCACTAGTTCCTCTGTGTTTAATAGAAAACCTATCTCTCCTCTAAATTAGACAAGAAAACTAGAAAACCTCTTTTCCTCCAAACTTGTTCATAAGACAAACTCTACTTCCTCTGCACAGAGAAGTTCTCTATATCCTGTGGTTTAAAAGAAAGCCTCTATTTCCTCTGCATCTTAGTAGGAAACACCTAGGACCTCCGCCCCTCCCCCAAAAAGAACAAAACATAAATCACAAAAATGCCCCCGTTCTCTCGCCGCCCCCCCCCCCCCCCCCTCCCTCTGGCGTTTGCAATCCACCACGGTCCCGTCACACCCTCGATCTGGCCTCCTCCTTGGTTTTGACAGTCCATCACCACGCACCCGAAGCCTAAACCAACACCCGTGCAACACCCATGACCCTAATCCGCGTTCTCAAACTCGACACCGATGATCCCGAAAGCAATCAGCTTGACGTTTGCAAGGGACACGTATCTGGCGGTGTTGCAAGTGTGGTGGTCGTGGCGCGGCGGAGCGAACACCGCCGCAGAGGGTTCGTCACCCACGATGAAAATGCGCAAAAACACACAGCCAGAGAGCTTCGACACGCACGATCCCCGCAGAGGGTTCGTCGGCGACGTTGAAATGCGCAAAAACGCACAGCGAGAGCGCCTGGACACGCACGATCCTCCCGCCCCGGCAAGCCTACCCCGGCCTAAGAAATAAGTAGAATTGAATAGAAGAGTAATAGAATCGCATAGAAGCAGAAGCCGTGGAGGTGGACTGGTGCGGTGTGCTAGTTGGTGCGGTGTAGTTGGTGCGGTGTAGTTGGTGCGGTGCAGCTTGTGCGGTGTCGTTGTTGCGGTGTACTTGGTGCGGCGCGAAGCCATTCTTTCCGAACAACCCTTCGCGGTGCTTTCGGGAACACCACGCCCGAAAAAAACAACGATCTCTCGCCTTGGATGTTTGTTTGTTCGTCCCCGGGCGACTAAACGATTTCCACCGCAAGCTCTTCATGAAAAGGCGGGCTTCTTTTCAACTCCCGGTTCTGACGCAAGCGAGCTATGGTCAAGACTCGAAGACCGGAAGCTGCCTAAAACACATTAGGTCTCCGTGTTGAGGGAAGCATGTTTTACAATTCTAGCATATGCTGAGAGATAAATATAAGCATTCATGTAACATATGTATATATATATATATTTGTATATACTTATAATTATATATATATATATATGTGTGTGTGTGTGTGTGTTATATGTATGTATGTATGTATGTATGTATGTATGTATGCATGCATGTATGTATGTATGTATATACATATGCATGTGTATATGTATATATAGATATATATATATATATATTACCTGCCTCCGGTGGGGAAGTGGAGCGGCTTGGACGGGGTGAGGCCAAAGGTGTGGAAGGCTTCTCCAGCCCGCTCGAGTCCACCTTCTCGCGGCCCAATGCTTCCGCCAGGGCTTCCGCAAGGGGTAGTTCTCTAAATTAGGTTACCTCAAGGGGTTTAGGGTTTAGGGTTTAGGGTTTAGGGTTTAGGGTTTAGGGTTTAGGGTTTAGGGTTCGTTTAGGGTTTAGGGTTTAGGGTTTAGGGTTTAGGGTTTAGGGTGCCGTACTATATCGGGGACCCCAAAAAAAGGGAGCCCAAATTTGGAAAACTACCCACAGACCTCCTAGCCGATTCTCGACAGCCTAAACATTGTACGGACACAGCGACAGGGATCGGGAGGCTACCTACTTGGAGACTCATGGTACTTATTAACCAGCTATAACTGTACTTATAACCCACTTATAAGCCCCTTTAAGTGCCAACATATGGTTATAAGAAGTACAGTTATAGTTGGTGAATACATACCATGAACCTGCAAGTATGCCAACATCAGCAAGAACGGCCTTTGTCTGCTGGACGAGCGGGCTTGATCCTCGTGATAAAGCTACCATCGGATTCAGGGAAGGAGCCCTTGGCATGGCAGGACAATGCACTTGCACTCTCGCAATCCTCTCCTGCCAATGGTCCTGCCAACGCTTGCGTTGGAACAGCATCAAGTACTTCTGCCGCTCCGTGTGCTGCTCTCGAGGAGGCGCTCATAGACGTTTGTGCAGCCTGGGCATCCAATCCAGGCTCCACGTCAGGGATAATCATGGACTAGTTGCAGTTCAAAAGCCCTTTCCGTCATCGGCGCGATTCGCCGTGGAACCAGCTGAACCTTGAAGGCTCTGGCTGGACTGCGACAAGAGGGCAACATGACCGGGGGAAACGTCTGCGTTAAAGCTTCGCCACCACCACCACCACCACCACCACATGACACCAGCAACACTACCGCGGCTGCCACCGTTGCCTGCTGGCACTGCTACCACTGTTGCTAGAAGTACTGCCGCCTGCCGCCGTGGCTATGGTAGTTTCTCACGCCAGTAACCCGACTCTTGCTGCTGTAGGCGGAATGGCCGTAGACCAGCAGGCTCAGTTCCGACAAGCAGCGTCCTCTGACTGCTCATTTGGGTCCTGAACTGAACAGGAAAAGAAAGCCAAAGCTTGGCTCGGCTGGGATCGTCTCACATGTACGCTTTTCAGTTCCTGCCTGATCAAGAACAAAGCGAGTTCGGGAACTAGGGTTGAAGTTGCCTCAGCCGGCGGACAGCCTGTACACCAGGATCTGTATTGCACCCCCAAGAAGCCGAGGCTGGGGCTGTCCTCATCGCTGTCATCGTCTTCGGACTGCACATGCAAAGCAGCAACTCTGTTGAAGGGCTGTCACTGCACTGATTTTAGGTGCTTGGGGCACGATACTTCGTGGTACCTGGGTGAAGCATGGGTGACGCATTTGCTGGGAGGCAGCAGGTCACAGCCTCCATCTCCCATCTCAGGTGATCCTCATACTCCTTTTGACGCACATGCAACTCCGCCAGCACTGCCTCCACCTCAACCATGTGGTTGACAGGGCAATGCAGGAGTCATGCAACGTTGGCATGAGAAACAACCTTTGTGCAGACTTCGAAAGCATCCAAGGTGCCAAAATTGTAGCATCCTTGGCACCTACTGCTGCCAAGCGCTGTGTCATATGGAGAATCTCATCCGGAGCCACGTGCCACTTGTGATCGAGGCCATGCCGTCCATCAAGGGTGTGGTGCTTGAACAAATGCTTTACTTCTTCTTGCCACTTCGCGGCGATCTGGCGCTTTGGCGTTTTCTTGGGAATGTTTCTCATTGCGCTGGTTAAGGCAACGAGCAGGCGTGTTGTATCCGCAGGCAGGATGAGCTGGTCAAACTGATCAAGCCAGAGTTCAGTGAACTCCTCCATTGCCTCTCGCCAGGTCAGCAGCAGCAGCAGCAAAGGACTTCCAATCACGACACATTCCCCGACAAAAAACAAGGGACTTCTCGAAGCATGGAATTCTCGGAGCATGGAAATGAAACAAGCTGGACGTGTGTGTGAGTCAGCACTCCTTGCAGGCACTCAGCCTTGTGGGAGGGAGGGGGTGGGGGTGGGGGGGGGGGGGGGGTTCAGCATTGCAAGAAATGTGTAATGGACTTTAACATCCCAAAGAAACAGATCAGAATCAGCAGCAGCAGCAGCAGCAGCAGCAATAACGATGGCACCAACACAAAACAACGTTCCAACGGTGCGTAAACGCGCGCCGAAAACGCCGCGTTGTAGACGGGAAGGGCAAATAACGTGGCAAAGGCAGTATTTCTGAGCTTTGAGAGTCAGGGATGGTGAGAGTACAGCGGACAAAAACTCGAAGGGAAAATTGACTAGAATGCGCTGGGGCCTAGGTTTGGGCGGCATGAGGGCGGTCGAGGTCCAGACATTTTAGAGCTTCAGCCAGTTCTTGTCTCGACGGACGTTCTCATAGTTCTCATCGTGCGGGCATGGATGCTCTGGCCATTCGCACGCACTGATAACACGGACGTTCTCATCGCGGGGGCATGGATGCTCTGGCCATTCGCACGCACTGGTAACACGGACGTTCTCATCGTGCGGGCATGGATGCCCTCACTGGCAACACTGACGTTCTCATCTTGCGGGCATGGATGCTCTGGCCAGTCGCACGCACTGGTAACACGGACGTTCGCATCGTACGGGCATGGATGCTCTGGCCATTCGCACGCACTGGTAACACGGACGTTCTCATCGTGCGGGCATGGATGCTCTGGCCATTCGCACGCACTGGTAACACGGACGTTCTCATCGTGGGGGCATGGATGCTCTGGCCATTCGCACGCACTGGTAACACGGACGTTCGCATCGTACGGGCATGGATGCCCTGGCCATTCGCACACACTGGTAACACGGACGTTCTCATCGTGAGGGCATGGATGCCCTGGCCATTCGCACGCACTGGCAACACGGACGTTCTCATCACGCACTGGTAACACGGACGTTCTCATCGAGCGGGCGTGGATGCCCTGGCCATTCGCACGCACTGGTAACACGGTTGTTCTCATCACGCACTGGTAACACGGACGTTCTCATCGCGCGGGCGTGGATGCCCTGGCCATTCGCACGCACTGGTAACACGGACGTTCTCATCGTGCGGGCATGGATGCTCTGGCCATTCGCACGGACTGGTAGAAAACGTGGCAGGCGTGTGCTTTTCTGTGCACAGGGCACAGAAAACACTGTAAATGCCGTGCCGTTGGAGCCCAAAACAACGACCATGACAAAGATGGCCATGCAACCGATGCGCGGGGACGCAAATGTCAAAACAAGTTCCAGTGTTGCAACACCCAAGACAAACACTCCCAAAGAACACTTCAAAAGCCACAGAAAGAGCAAAAACAAAAAATCTGCCTTGACAACGACTTGCCGCTGGTAATTTGGCCCAAACCGCAGGATCTGCGCCCTCGTGTTCTTAACGACGGACGCCTCGAATCAGGCTTTGCGCATGCCTTCATGCTGTTTGTGGTGTGAGCCCTCTCACAGTGACCAGCAACGGCACATTTTCAGATGCCCTAACGTGGAAGCCGAAGCGCTGCCCGCGCGAAGCTTGAAGACCTGCGTAGCTTCTTCCGCTTCTCTGTGCTCACAATCTTGATTTTGTCAGTGGTAATGGACCACCTAAGTTGATAAGCACGTGCCGGGCTCCACAAACTGTAGCTCTCCGGACTACACTGCGAGATTCTGCTCTACAAACGGTACTTCCAGGCGACTCTATGAAAACCTTCTCGTCCTCACCCTGTTGGATCAGTGGCAAAGCGGTTCCGATCACTGTCCTTTTCACTTCACCTCAGGGTTTCGCTTCCTGTCGCTATCTGTTGCTCCCTCGATACAAACCCCAGTTTTCAAGCCCATGCTGGCCTATCAGTTGCACTATGGGATTTGGCTTCGCTTTCTCCTGGCCCCTCACGCTTGATCTCCGACCGCGCACTGAACCGCGCCGCGCGGGCGCGGGCGCGGGGGATGCTTTCAACGGATCGTCCTCGTCCTCCTCCTCCACCTCCTCTTCCATGTCTTCTGCCGTTGTGCGCAACATCTGGACCACCACATGCAGTGCAAAGTACATGCAGATGCATCCCAGCGCCAGGACCAACAGTCCAGCAAAAACATATGTCACCTCGGCCGAGGGATTGAAGATTAGCAGGACTGCGACCATGCTGAAGAGAACGAAGCGAAAGCTCAAGAGGCACATCTCCATGAAGTCCAAGATCTCTGCCTGATCGTTTGTAAAGGGCCTGCACCAAGAAGCAATGGCCAGCTGCGCGCCAGAGACGAAAGGGAAAAGCAATAGCTTCGCCTTCTGGTCATCGGCCAAGGAAGTATAGGTTATCAAGTTCATGATCGCGATGTCAAAACGCTTCACGATGATATCCCAATACCAAAAGCCTGGCTCATAGCCCTCGATGAAGAAGCCGTACCTCCGGAAGTTCTCAGGATTCTGGCGGTCTTTCAGCTTGTAGATGCGCAAGAACAGTAGCACGGGGACCCCAATGCACCACACAATGAGCCCGATCCCAGCGATGAGCGCCAACTCAAAATGGTCGTAGCTCCAGCATACGACATCAGGATGGGGACGCAAACGCTGCTTCACCACGGTCAGACCACTGCTGTTATCCTCCGAGAGAGGCGTGCACCACACCATTTTCAGAAACTGCGACAAAAGCTCAGGCCACCTTAGCTGAGCTCACATGTGCAAAGCTCACACGCAGAATGATTGTTTCTTCTTCTGCTTCTTCTGCTGGCTTTCCATGTGCACGGCAAACATGAAAGGACAGGCTCCCGTGCGTGGGGTGCAGTCAAGGAGCCAACCAGGAAACTCGCCACAACATCACAGCATGCGTGGGAGTATGCGTGGGTACCGGTGCATATGCAACTATTGAAACATAAATGACTGGGCGATGCTGAATCTCTCTTTCTTTCTTTCTAGGGGCTTGGGGGAAGACCCCCGGCGTCATCGCCCGCCCCTGTATTTGGGGCTCTGCGTTTGGCTCGGAGGGGTGCCTGCTGAATCTCTCGCTCTCTCTCTCTCGCTCTCTCTCTCTCTCTCTCTCTCTAGTATTTCTAGCCGAGCTGATACCTTGCTGCACTCAAGCGGCATTGCCAGCAGCATAACCCAAATTACTGGCACACACTGCGACAGCAAAAGCGATGGTCTTGGCCACGACGTGAACAAACCAAAGTCTAGGGTGTCCTGGGCAAAAGATGCAAAGACTGAGCAATGGTGTGTCAAAGCGTGTGCGTGCTAGACATCCTGTTGCGACTTTAAAACCGCCTGCACCGACCACCCCGTGCAACTGAGCTTTACGAACCCACGAATGCGTGCCAGCTGTTTGATGAGTCTCCGGATCAAGCCCAGTGTTCTCGGCAGGCAAAGCTGCTTGAATGGCAGTGTCCTCTTCGCCGCGCTTCTTCCTTCACAGAAACGCTGTGTTCTTAACCGAGCATCCTAGTTTCAGCACAATGCATCAGCAATAGCCCCTAGCTACACCCGCTGGTGGGACCATATGCAAACAACCACAAACAACCGGTTTGTGCTGAGTTGAGGTCTTGGCCTTAGAGGTCTGGGTAGGGTCGCAGGTACCCCTTTTGAACCCAGACTCCTGAAGTCAGCTGGTACCCCTTTTGACCCCGCAAGCTCTGCGCCCTAAACCCTAATTCTCCTCCCAGGTCCAAGAACAGTGCGCCACCCCTTTGCCTCAAATGGGTACCCAGCTAGCCGACACAGCCTTAGCCTTAGTCCCCTCGCCGTTGACCAATAGGGATTATAATAGTGGGTACTACAATCCCAATTAAGGACTGTTAGTATAGGGGGGAATATCCCAACACCTCCGTATGGGCGCATTTCCCGTGGGGCTGGGAAATGGTGCCCTCTTCTCTGATTCTCGACCTTTTGTATCCTCCCCCGCCCCCGCCCCCACACACCGTTCAGGTACTCGCGTGGGTTTAGGGAACGAAGGCTCTGGAAATTTGACTCTTCTGCAATGAAGACCCCCCGGCTGAGGCGTGTCGCTTAGCGTCAAATTTACCTCGGTAGTTGCCAGCTGTTTGGGCGCAAGCGGGCCTCAATTCTTCGCACTTTGTAGCAACAAATCCATAGAAGCTCAGCTCATCGGCCTCAGATGCACTTGCAGAACGGAGAGGCGGATCCTTAAACTCGGACAAAAAAAACAAATGCAGCACGTCACGACCCAACTCTGTACCGAGATGCGGCTGCCTTCTGCAACTTCTCTGGCGTGTCAAAGCTGTCAGCAACCTGAGCTCAAGTACAGCAAGAATACGGCAATGATTGAGAGGCTTTTGCTACACAAACTGCAGTCTCAATTTACGGGCCCCCACATTTGCAGTCAGGTTTGCAGTTGTTTGGGAGCCTGCTTTAAAAGTCAGGCTCATGTCTTGGATCTTGGGGAGCGACAGACTACCTCGATCTTGACCCGCTCTTGGGTAAAGAGCCCACCAAGAAATCCTATACACCTATAGCCTTCCAAAGCCATAAGGCCTCAGAGGAACACAACTCCACGTCACTACTTGTGAGCAAGCAGGAGCGTCAAAACCCCGTCTGGATTTGGGGAGGCGAGCGGAAGGCCCAGCCGAGACGAAACGAAGATGTATACTACAGCGCTCGGTGCACGCGAGCATGGAACAGGGCGTCAGGAGTCAGGAGATGGGTGTCTGGGTGGGGGGGTCAACTGACCCAAGCGCAGGCCAGAATGCAGGAGAACCGGAGAAACCCTCAACGAAGGCAGGAGGCCAGATGAGCGAGAGGGCTGGGGATGTGTGACAAGCGGCAAGCGAGCTTAGGGGTCAGTGAAGGGGCGGGCCTCGCCCGCGCCTGGCGACAGGCGACGGAGCACAGCACGGGCGTTCTCACGCTGCACTCGAGCAGCAACCACGGCCCTGAGACGGTTATGGCGCTTGACTCGATCCCCGCCACATGGGCAGCAACGAGAATGGTCGCCAAAGCTGTCAGCGACACCGTCGCACAGGGGGCAATGCGTGTCTTCCGGAGAGACGGGCAGGCGGAGGCGGAGCTGCACCATCACGCGGAAGAGGCGGGGCGCAACATGGAGCCCAAGAGCCTCGCTGGGGGGGGCGTGGAGCCAGGCCCCAGAGCCCGGAAGCTCGAGGAGGCGCAGATGGCGGCCTCACGACCTTGGCCCGGAGCAAGGAGCTGCGAGATCACTGCGCGATCGAGTGCCTGAGACAGCTCACGCTGCCGGGTGGTAAGTGGCACGGGCGCACGCAAATGGTCTGACTGCAGGACATCTTGGTTGTGGGCGGTGATCGCTGCGAGGTAGGCAGAGTGGGTGGCGAGTCGGGGTCCAACAAAACGCACGCCTGCGCAGTGTTGACCAGGGAGGCCAGGTAAGCGGCGGGCGCATGCCGTCGGGTAGAGCGGAGGCCCAATCCACCGACGGAGGTTGCCAGCGTGGCCTGAGCCCACGCCTCGGAACGCAAAGGGCCAGTGCACATGTGCTCAAGGCAAGCCCTGACATCGGCATCGAAGGCATCGAGGGCAGTGCTATGGAGGCCTGGAGGGGTGACCCGGGAGGCGTAGGCGACCCGACAGAAAGACGCGCAGCGCCGCAACAGGAGCAGAGCAGTTTGTGCATCAGGGAGAGCTGCCAGCTCTGTGAGAAGCGGCCGAGCCTTTTCCACACGCTCCTTGGTGGTGAACGCCTCACAGAACGCTTGCTGACCAACAGGGGCGCCAAGAATGGAGAAGGCGCCAGAGGAGTTAACCTGCACCCCAGCGGGGAAGAGCCGCATGTCAACGCAGCTGTTTGGACCGCCGCAGGTGACGACCTCGCATTTGGTCGGGTTGAGTTCCAGTCCGATCTGTCGGGCGGCAGCCCCAAGACGAGCAAGGCTTGCAGCGACTTGCCGGTAGTCTCCAGCGAGGCACACATCATCAAGGAAGGCAAGCACCAGCGCAGGTGGGGCGGGCCCCGACTTAGCAGCTTGCAACGCCGGCTGGAGGGCCAAAGCAAAAAGGAGAGGGCCAAGCGGATCTCCCTGTTGGACACCGGTTTGCGAGAGCAGGCAAGTGTCGCCAAACAGGAGGCGGCTATGCCGGTCGTAGGTCCACTCGGCCCCGGGAGACAGACCTGGCATGTGTCGGCGGAGTTGCCGGAGAAGGGCGGCCCGATCAACGGTGTTGAAAGCATTGCGGAAGTCAACCTTCAGGATGACGTTGGTGGCATGCCCAGCGTTGCGGTGCGCCCACTGGCGCACCGTGTGGACCAGCGACTCGCTGCCCAGAGGGACGCCGACCCCGACCTGTAAGGGCCACAGGGCGGCCTTAGCATCCTCCTTGTAGGCCTGGCACAGACACTTGCTCACAAGACGTCGCAGGCACTCCCCGACAGCGATGGGCCGAACATCGTCTGCCCCTTTGGGAATGGCATGGAGAGTGGCACCAGCGAGGTGGGGCGCAAGCTCGGAGGGAGCAGCTCCGGAGGCCAGAAGGCGCACAACATCAGTGAGGTGGGCCGACCTCGTCGCAATGTGGCGTGCTGAGAGCTTCGCGGAGGTGGTCCCCTCGAAGGCCGGTAGGCCCTGCGGCGCTGCCTCGCCTGAAACCGCGAGTGGCCGTGAGGACCTGTTGGATAGACAAGTCAGGCACCTGGTTGTGGGCGGGAGGCCCTAGCGGGACAAGCCCTGGCCGAGCAGGCGGGCACGAGGGGTGTTTGGCACGCAGCTGGTCGAGCACGCCCCCGTCCTCAGCGAGCAGCGGTGGGCTAAGAAGGGCGGCGCACGCCCGGGAGAGCTCGCCCTCACCAGCAAGAGACAGGCAGCGAGATTGGCGGGCGGAGTTGGCGGCTTCGCCATTTACAGGGTTGCGAGAGCGGGGACGGGCAGGGCAGGCTTCCCAGAGCTCACCACGTTCGCCCTCAAGCCAGCGTCGACACCGACGCAGGGTCTGCTGGGCGGCCTCCTCCCGCCGCTTGGACCCGCCACGGCGAGGGGAGCGGAGGATGGCTTTAGGCAACATCAGCAGGTCACGCCAAGCAGTTAAGGTGTTTTGGGCGGCGGCCGCAGCGAGAGCTCTGGCCAGGCACTGCGCCCAGGCGCTGCGGGCTGCTCGAGGCACATGTCGCTGGACGGGGATGCGGCTGTGGAAGACCTCGGCGAGGTCGGGCCCATCAAGTTGTGGTTGGCCAATGTGCGGGGCGCAGCGGCCCGGGCGGTCGGCCGGCAACGAGGGTGGGCCCCGTGATATCGGCGGGAGACAAGGAGCCCACAGACTTGGCATGAGTCAAGCGAGTGCTGCGCCAAATATGCGGCGGGGATATCCCCCGCAAGAGAACCGGCACAGTGGTCATTAAAAGTCAGAGGGTTCGGCTCCACGGGCAGGGCCTGGGGCCTCTAAGACTCTAAAGCTGTTCGGGCGGGTGGAGAGTGTAGAGAGGAAGTGAAGGACAGTGCAGCATTGGCGTATGCAGGTCTATCCGGCACAATCAGCAGCAGGTCCTGCGCCTGAAGGTGCAGATCCCTGAAATTGACCTGCCCCCTTTGCTTACGGAGAGTCCAAGCATTAGGGGGCTGAACCTCGCTTGGCTTGGCATTTTGGTCCTCGGCAACTTGCCTCAACTTTGACTTCGCTTTGGCTTTGGCCATTTGTTGGCGCTGGTGACTGCAGGTGTGGGCCTGGTTGGCTGCAGTCCCCACACGACAGATCCGACAGAGAAGTGAACAATAGACTGCCTGGCAAATGCCGGGTCGAGCGAGGAGCGTTGACGCTCGGTTGGCCTTAACCCCGTTCCCAAAACGGACACTCTGGCGATTGGCTCACGCGTGACCACCTTCCAGTCCAATCCACTTTATGTGAGGTCAAAGTTATTGAGGGGCACTTAGAGGGCAAATGAACATCAACTGTCCAAAGAGCGCACGCAGGCATACGCAGGCAAGGGCAGAGCAAGGTAGGTCGACAAGTACAAAGCTATGCCCTCATCAGAATCTGAGAAGCACTAAGAGCGACGTCACGCACATCCAATCCCCAATCAGCTGCTCGGGTCTGCATTCGATGTCGCATCCTCCATGCCAAGGCCCGACGAGCCTGTAGCTTCTCGCAAGGCAGGGATTTGATGATATCATGATACTCTTGAGATCATGGTATTTTCTAAGGGTGGCTACATGGTCCCTTCGTATGGCCCCTTCAAAGGGGACCCCTTGTGTACCCTCTTTAGATCCTATCAAACCCAAGAGCCCATTCTTCAGTTTTTTTCAAGAAGGCAAGGGCCCATAGCCATTCTATTCTTGAAAAGTATGCTACTATATTAATATACTAGAGTAGTTCGTTCACTATTTTTCGATTATCATAATACAAATATGATGAGTATATTATGATAACATTGCAGTATTGAAATGTTCAAATAAGGTATTATTGGATAATTATCTTGCGTTTATCATATTGGTAGATTGTTATATTGTTGTTTTTTTAGTATAGTATATCGTATTACTTTTATATTATACAATTATACGCTTTAATATTACGTTATTATTAAACCTTAAAAAAAGCAGCTTAACATTACATAACCATAGCGCACTATAATATTATTTATTATTGTATTTTACACAATATATGATGATATGATTATAGGGTTATGTTATGTTCTTGTTATATGATTATAGTGAAATGTTTTAATCAGGTTGCTACGATATTGTTTTGCGTTATTGTATAAATATAATATCCTGTTGTTATATTCTTACTGCTCTTCATAAATTTGTGAACTGTTAAAATAATACGCTCATGTGTTTTTGTATTGTTAGTGTACAAATGTACTGAAAGAAACAAAAGCAAGAGCATAATAATATATCGTATGACATGTAACAATGTAATAAAAACACCTTATAGCAATATAATCATATAATAGTATAACAATATTATATTAATGTTAAACTCTTCTTATATAATGTCTTTTATAGTATTTTGTACATTTTTAGTATTATTGGTATGTGTTATTGTTCTGATATTCTGCCTTTAGAACGCTATAATGCTATATTATTGTATAATTACATTAGTACTATTATTGTATGATTACATTAGTACACTAATATTTCACTATACGTATAACAAAAAAAGATAAGTAATATTATAAATATATATATATATAAAAGATCACATTCTCATAGTATCATACTATCATCATATTCTCATATTATCATACCATCAGATAATCAAATTACCATATTATCATATTATCATATTGTCATATTGTCATATTGTCATATTATCAGGTTCCCATATTCCCATATTCGCATATTCTCATATTCTCATATTCTCATATTCTCATATTCTCATATTCTCATATTTTCATGTTCTCATGTTCTCATATTATCATATTATCATGTTATCATACTATCATATTATCACATTATCATATTATCATATTATCATATTATCACATTATCATATTATCATATTATCATATTATTATATTATCATATTATCATGTTATCATATTATCATATTCTCATATTATCATATTATCATATTATCATATTATCATATTATCATATTATCATATTATCATGTTATCATGTTATCATGTTCTCATATTATCATATTATCATATTAAGATATTAAGATATCAAAATGTTATCATGTAATACTTCATTGTATGATTATATTGTTGTATAGTATATCAGTACTGTTGCGTTGCTGTGTTCGAATATCATATTGTTAAGTTATACTTCTATCTTATTTGAATCTTTATGCTCTGAAGCCAAGGTTCGAAACCCTGCAGTGCGGTATTTGTTGTTGTCCAGGACCTCAAACCGATCAGAGGCTGTGAGCTGATACCATCTTCTGCCATCCTTGACGCGTACATGGCAGCCAAGCAACAGATCGTCAATAACGTCCGTCAAACCTCAAGACTCGCTGCCAAACAAGGCTCGCTAAACAAGAGCATGGTCACTTCTCACACGTCCAAGCTGTCATTGCGACAAGGCCATCACCCCATGAGAAACAGTGAGGCACAAGGTTATTTCAACTTGCGGCCAGACAGCCGTCCTCATCCATACCCTCTGTTAAGAACTCGGGTTCTTCGAAGAGTTCATCCCGCGAAAGATGTATCTTCTCGCAAAGCTGTTCCTGGATGAGAAATGGACACAAGAACAAACTAGATGCACGGTTCCACTGGAATGATCCCAAAAGAGAATGCGATCGCGAAGGTCGGTAATGAGTGCAGGCTGGGGGGCTAGATAGCCAGAACACATTGCTTTGTGTATGCCTTGCTGCGGACACGGACACTTGCGGCTAGTTTACAGATCCGGCGCTTGGCAAGTGATCCACCCAAAGACCGCGGATTGAGAGCTGCACACATCCTGATTGCCAGTGGCCTTGAATTGGGCATCTCACCTTTTGCAAGCAGAGGCAGTGAAGGTAGGGAGATAGCGAGAGCAGCAAGAGCAGCATGCAACAGGGGGAAAGAACAGGTTTGTGTGCACCGTCGCCTGCAATGAACGCACGCGGATCATGAAGTCCATGTTCCAGGATTGTCAGGTCTACCTCCTCGAGGAAACCTGAGTCCTGCCAGTGCATACAACCCTTCAAAGCTTCAAAGACCAGGACAGCCTCTTTCCCGAAAAAGTGGCATGGGGAAAGATCACGGAAGCTGCGTGGAAGAATGCAGAAGACATACGTGTGTTTTGTTTGACTGTGAGCAACACCTGAGTACGGCCAGGCCTTCAGAGAGCCAGACCACCCAAGCAAGCTCACTTGGTGCGCGCTAGAAATGTGCAAACGCATGGGTTTGGAAAGGGTTCACGACACGTTCTTGTGATGCAACTCCTCTTGATGGTGCGATGTCCGCTAAGGCAAGCCGGAGCGGCTGTAAAACCGGTGGCCAAGGGAACACAATCAGGCCCCCTGGATTCGTGTGCTTTTCGTTGTCGAACGTTATTCCTCTTGATAGCACGATTCTCTTTAAAGCAACCCTGCACGTACTTTAAAATGAGGGGGGGGGGAGAGCTGCCGGCCCCAACTCCATTTGCCAAGCAAATGCTCACTTGAGATCTGGGCTACGAAAGCTAGAGACCCGGCTGACAAGCAAGCTATTTTTGAGTCAGGCAGGAGAACCTTACAGCTCGACAGCAGGCCTGACCAAGAAGGGGGGGGGGGGTGGGCTGAAAAGGGGGGGGGGGGGGGGCTCCCCAGAAATCAATTAGGGGCGACCCTGAATGGGGGGGGGACACCTTAAGATTGATTCTGTCAATCCTATAAGGGGGGGGGGGGGCCCCCCCCCCCCCCACAGCCGTTTATCTCTTTGATTTTCATACCACTAAGGGTCGGGGTCGCTTTTTGACCCAGCTGAACACTAGAGAGAGAAGACTTGTAAACGACAACTCTCGCGAGCACCAAGGAGCTAGCTTTCGTGACATGTTTTTGAAACAATCTCTCCGGATGGCATGATGCTCTATACAGCAAAAGATCGCATGGTTCAAAACAAAATGCGGGGAAGATTGGAAGTCAATGCTGGAATAGTCTCATTCTGTCCTCCATGTCTCTCGCGCTGTCCTTTTTTACTCGTTTCGTCGTTGCTTTCTGTTTAGCTTATCTCGTTCTGTCGTTCGGTTGTTCTCTCTTTATGTATTTATGCATCTCTCTTTCTATTTCTCGTCATTATTTCTGTAATTCTGCTTTCCTATTTCATTTACTTCTACCCCCTACGAGGTCAGGATCGCCGTGGGCACGTGATTTCGGATCCTGCTTCACGGTCCGAAGTGTCCGCCTCTATCTGAAATGTCGGTGTCCTTCCCCCTCCCAGATAATTTGTGAGCGAGCGCGCTATTCCCCACCCTTGTTGTTGTGTGGCGTGCTCAGAGCCTGATGCTTTGCAAGGAACATCAAGGAACTGACAAACACATGCCACTTGATTGCAGACTGGGACACTAGAGTCTGTCGGTCCTCGACGTCACGCCAGGTGAGACCCTTTTCCGGCAGGACGTCCACCAAAACATCTACGGCTTTCTTTTTCAAGCCTGCTCGTTTCTTTTTGTCGCGGGCGGCGTCATTGAAGAAGAGCCCAACCCAGCCCGCAGCAGGTGTAACAACATACACCATAAATGCTGAGAACATAAACAAGGCGATGATAGCGATGATGGGGCTGCTGACAAAGTATATGCCCGGGGCGACCATGGTCCTTGGCATGGGTGGCTCATGGTGGCTCATGCCCATACAAGATTGCTCGAAAAGAGACCTTGTCCAAGCGTCATCATCCGGCTGCTCGGTAACAGTTGACCAGCTCTGCACATCGCCGCAAATTGTACGGTTGCCAGCCGGGGCCTCAGACAATGATGTCACCTGCCCCTGGGCTCGCAGCGAACGCAGTTCTCCAGGTCAAGCCACGTCTAGACACACGGCTGGCTGCTATCGACCAGTGAACGGAAGTAGTCACAACTTCTGGCAGCACAGCTACGCCCTGATGTGACCTGCCTGAACTGTGTACTTAGGTCTACTGAGTCTACTCGAATGGAACGGCGGGACCTCAGGTCCCGACACAAGGCTCATGACCGCAAAGACGTCAGACATTGCTTTCGAAACCTCTTCCGGCCATGGGAAGGTTGCCGCCTGCCCGAATCTGAATCGCAGAGCAACTAAGCAGGCCTGTGCCCTGACATGCCCTGACTAACACAGCTGCTTCTGACGCACTCGGCAAGGCCAACTGTACAACACAGAGCTCCGTGTAGTCAACAAGACAGGACATGTGCAAAATTGCTTTGCCTGGGGTCCAGTTTCACAAGTAGTGGAATTGGACTCCGCGCAGGCAGCGAGTTGTGCCATTGCAGCTTCTTGTTGGGACCACTCGAAACCAGGCAGTCTTTCCAGGTTGAACTGTGTGAGGACAGAGCCTGGAAAACAATCAACATCACTCCTGAAGTAAGCATCACATGGTGTTGAAAGCACCTCCTGCTTTCAGGCACAGCCGAGACGCAAGCAGCCATCCACTGAGTTCCGAGACCTTACTAGGAAAGAGACTGGCAGCATGCTTCTCTTATGTCCAATCAGCTGAGCCATCCGAGCCATCTCAGATGCTATGGAGATTACTTGTATCGTGTGTAGTTGGTGTATACACCCCTAAGAAGGAGCCGGAAGCGATCAGCAGTGCTGCGTCCCACACGGCAAAATGAATGAGAGAGAGAGAGGGGGAAGAAAAAAGAGGGGATTTCCAATATATCCCCATTTCTCCCCCATTACCCCCTAATACCCTCAAACCCCCACATCTTCTGACTTGTCGAGCCTACATCATCCACAGCAATGCATCCTGGCTGCGGATCATACTCGTGTGAAGTTTGGCGCTGCCTTTCACCGCAGAGGTTGCCGCCATTGCCGCCACAATGAAGTTCATGAACACTTTTTGGCCGATGTCGGAGAGGATGGCAAACTTATCTCAACAGAGCTTGATCTACGCACATGCTCTGGTTTCACCAATGCGGAGCTGTGGCCGCCGCCAAGTTCGAGCTTCAGGAAACCATCTGCTAGCCAAGAATACTGAACACCCTTTGCCAAATTATATGTTTCATGCCGACAGCAACCCCTGCTGTCAGCCGTGCACCTCCAGCCACCTTGCTTCCAGGCTTTCTAGCTACTGCTATCGGCACCTAGACTGACCCGCTGTGTTTGCCATACTTGCAAGATGCCACCCAAACCGAACAAAGCCTAATACGAACGGCAAAGCGCTTCAGGGTCAGGGGCGTGGTAGATTGCTGACTATGAGGACTCTAGGGACTAGGATTCGAGCAAGGCACGGAAAGATCCATCGAAGCATCAGCTGGGCATTGGCGGCAATACTCGGGATAATCGTCTCTGGCCCACTGTGCCGGGCACTCACCACACAGCACTCCAGTAGAACCTGCCACACATATCGTGAAGCTGCTACGTCTTGTTGCGCACTTGGAAAGCTTGCATCAAGCAGCCGAGCCTTCTGCACACTCGTTTCCTCAGTTGCATGAGTGAATGAACCCGTCACTTTGCTATCTTCGCGGACCATGGTGCAGACTTCTATGCAGCCTGCAGCAGCTAGTTGACTAGTTAGTGGCCTCTACCCGGTGCCTGCCACTTGTTGGTTGATTGGTAGTTGTGGTTCGTTCGGTTGTCCTTACTGCGCTTACAACGTCCGCTGCAGGCGCACAACGTCCGCTGCAGGCGTCGCAAAGGTTCTTTATATTCTGCGTGCGCCGCAGTCTCGCACACACACTCACAACTGACTGTTGTGCCCGACTGTCACTTACAAAGGATCTGCGAAGCAGAAAAATTGAGGTGCTACCGCAAAGCCAGAATAGCCTGATGCAAGCAGCTTCAAAGGGATTTTCAAAAACAGCGGGGAGGAGGGGGGCGGGGGACGTTTTCGAAGGCCCCAATTTCCACTTGTTTCCAGAAGCGGGCAAAGTGGGGACAGGAGCACAAACCCGAAATCCAATACTCCATCAAAGGTACGCCGAGCTGTGCCGAAGCATCATAAGCATCATCGGATTGCATCGGCCGTAGCTACAGAGTTCGCAAAGTTGATTTGGGGGAATCCTTTTCCATCCTGGATATTGGAACGAATGGCTTTCGTGACCTATTCAGGCCTCCAGCCCTGGTCTCTCTCAGCGTCCTGACTGCGCATTAGCCGCACTATAAACAACTACAACTAGCAGGGCTGAGGGTTGGCAGTTTCGCATATACAGTGGCAGCTCTACTATCGACTGCGGCGGACGTGTTTATATTTTTCCTAACGTTTTCTTCTCTGGCTCGTGTTCCTTGCTAACGTTGGCTCCCCCACTTCCTGGCTTTAAATTCTATGAAATGCTGCATTTCTGGCTATTTGCGGGCTCTACATGCTGAAAAATACAGCATTTCTGGCTGTTGTACTCCCCCTTTCTATCTGTACATGCCATGAAATGCACCATTTCTGGCTGTTCACGGTCTCTAGATCCCAACATACGGTACTTCTGGCTGTTGCAAAGGCTGCAAATGCTGATATATGCTGATAACATAGAGCATTTCTGCCTGTTCCAGGGATCCCGAAGCATCCAATTACACCGTTTCTAAGTATTTCTACGGGTGCGAAAAAGCTGTACAATCCAGCATTTCTATTTGTTCCAGGACTCCAAGTGGAGTAGATTACATCCGGCTTGAGGCTTGGGGGGTTCCATGAGGCCGCTTTGCATCGCACAAGGGTCGACGGGTTGCACGTATGATGTGTTTCGAAAAACGAGCCATTGACGGTTCGACATGCTACGACGCAAGCTTGCATAGTTCAGGAGAGTGGGGGGTGTTCTGGTTTGTTGGGGGGGGGGAGGGGTGCTCGTATGATGGGTTTGGAAAGACGGGCCATTCATTGAGGAACGAAACGACATTCTATGAAGCAAGGTTACATAGCTTACAAGCACGCGGGGGTTGGGGGCCCCATATGCAAACACAATGCTCGTGTGATGGGTTTGGAAAGTTGACGACTAGTTGACGGGCCCTTGACGACACGACCTTGTACGACGTATTAATTAGCGGGGTTGATTTGCAAACAATGCTCATATGATAGGTTTGGAAAGATGACGGGCCATTGACCGCACGACATTCTAGTGAAGCAAGCGGGCAGATTAGTCGCCGTCGGCGCCGCCGCCGTCGCCTTCGCCTTCGTCTTCGCCTTCACCTTCGTCTTCTTCGTCGTCGTTGTTTTTCTTGTTTTGTTGTTGTTGCTATTGGTGCTATTCGTTTTCCTGTTCTTGTTGGTGTTCTTTTCGTCCCTGTGTTTTGACAGTGGACCAGGGGACAAAAGCGACCCAAGGGCCGTGAGGCCGCAGGACTAGAGAGGACGAAGGCTACAGAATCAAAGGACCAGGGCACGGAGAGAAAAGTGTAGAGGACGGACGAAAGACCAGGGGGCCAGAGGACCAGGGCCTCAGAACCAAAGGACCAGGACCCGGGACCAGGGCCTTAGAAAAGAACAAAAACACCGGGCCACTATCAACTGAGCCTCAACATAAAAACCACCCTGCAGGCAAGGAAGTGCGAGTTGGGCACTCAGGCATTCTGTCAGAATACTCTGGGGGGTTGGGCACCCCGGGTTCTCGATATACTCTGGATCGGGCACTCCATTGACGACTCTGGCGTTGGGGATACTCAGGATTCTAGAATAGTCTGGGGCTGTGTACTCCGTGAATACTTTGAAGTTGGGCACTCTAGGGACTCTTTGAAAACAGACTTGGTGTTGTGCGGATACCTTGGGGCTGGGCGCTGCAGGGACTCTCTGGGACTACTCTGGAGGCACTCCAGGGACTCTCTAACAATACTCTGGGCTCGAGCACTGCAAGGACTCTCTGGGCATGTTCTGCTCCAGGCTAAAGCCTGGGGTCGGGGTACTCTGGGTTTGGCACAGGGACTCTCTGTGGGGGCGAACTGGGGTGGGACACGGGTGCTGGGCGAGGAGTAGACCGCGCGAGGAGAAGAGTTTAGTGTACAATTTGACAACCGACACCGAGGCTGGGGAAAACAAAAAACAAACTTAGGCACGAACGACCAAGCAACCATTGCACGGCCACCTACTTTTGCCACCAGCCCCACTCACCCGGGCGGATCCGGAAACCCCCCAAAATCCCCAAAGAAGTCCCCCAAAAAACCGTGTTGCTGCGCTACTGTTGTGGAAATGCACAAGGTGCAGACTGAGGGCAATGAAAGACGCGCACCAAAGACTCCAGAACGACAACACGCCAGCCTGAAGCCCCAAAGTTCAGGGCTGAGGGATGCATAGGGCCAAGGCTCCCAAGAGCCCATTGCAAGCTTCTGATACTGGGAGGTCCAAGCGTTGCGCTACGCAGCCGGCTCCGCCCATGCAGACGCTTGTGCCGTTCGGAAAGAGAACGTCACATTCCACTGCAATGGACTGGCCGCCTTGATAGAAGCCGGACCTTAGTACCGTTTGCCCAAACTTGCTGCAAGGCACCACTCGCTTAGCTAAACGGCAGGAACAGGTCAGCAGCATCTGATACCTGCAACCCACCAGATAAGCCGGCGACAGTGCAATAGGCTGCGCGTGACGACGCTGAGTGGTACCGTTCGTCTCATTCTCGAAGCCTCCACGACAGTCGAGGCCCTGATAGTTGCAACCAGCACATCGTGCGAGACTTCCCTCGTCAAAGGGGTTATCCAGAATAGCATGGAAACCAGGCAAGCAGAAGCAGTCCGCCAAAGAAGATGAAGCCGGATCGCTGTTTGCATTGGCTGGACATTCCAACGCGCACGTTGCATCATTTCCGATGGTAGGCTTGTAAGTGCCGGGTTCGCATGGCTGACAACTCGTGACCTTCCTGTAACCCTGCAAGCAAATGCAGTCTGCAGCCGTCCTGCCGCCGAAGGCAACAGTTGTAGAGTGTTCTGGGCAGTCAACTGCTTCGCCCGTGCCGGGACAATAAAGTCCAATGTCACAGGACGAGCATCCCGAACCATCAGCGTAAAGGCCAGCCTGCACTCTGCGCTCTTACTACTCACCGCGTGGAAACACACGAGACACACGACCCAAAGCCCCACCAGTACGCACCACAAGAAGGCACGTGGCCTCACATTTGCATTGCTGAAGCGAGGTGGCACCAACCTCCAGCGTGGACTTTTCGGTGGGACATCTCGTGCACGCTTCCATTGAGATGGTATCCTGGCACGTGCAATATCACACAATGTCACGTCTCCGCGCTTTCTGCGGATTTCTTGTTGCACGGGCATGGGCTTTCCGGCAAGACAAATGGCTTCCTTGTACTCACCCGTGGCACAGGGTTCGCAGCCCTGGGCCGCAGTGTCATAGGTATAGCCGGGACTGCACTGGCAATCTGCTGCACTGAGGACAGGCACACCTGACAAGTCACAGTGTCTCTCCACGACAACATGTTCCGGCCTCTTTGAATCGAGCATAAACTACCACTTTATAAATAGTAAGAGCTTTTGCCGCTGAAAGGCCCGGTGGAACTGACATGCGGGGTGCACATTCCACGGTTGTGGAGGAGACCGCTGGGGGTGAGGCTTCCAGGGTAATCCCTGCACTGCTCAGGGTCCTTGGCTGAAGAACCAGGGTTCGAAGTCGAGGGTAAACGGTTCAGGTCTGAGCTTCTTCGGCTCCATTTGAATAACAGGGCATCTTGGACTGTGTGATTCTGTGTGATATCATGTGTGGGGCAGGGTGGCAACTAGGCCTGCAACGCTAGATGAAGTGAGGGTCGGATTGTTCTGAATGGCCGCAGTCACTTCGTTCGTTACGGTGGCGGCCTTGGCAGACAAGATGGTCTTACAGCCGCTTGCATAGCTCCAAAGAGCCATGAGTTGACAAATCCACGGATGTCTGGAATGCTCGCGGCTACATTTCGCTGGAACACCTGCGCGTTGTCGAGAGACTTAATGCAAGTCAGGAAGCGTCCATGTCTGCCACGATCGCAGATGCCTCGTCTACGCTGCGCTGCTTGATTGTGATGACGATCATCGACGCGTCAAAAAGCCGTCTGAGACGTCTTCCCGCCAGGCCCAGGCCTACAAAGTCCTTACAGGTCAGAGTCATGCGCTTCCCTGCGATTAGCAACACGATCCTTTCTGGCCTCTCTTGACTGTCTGGATGAAAATTATGACGAGCACTGGCAGCCGTTAGCTCTTGGGGGAGGCATCTAATTCTTCCTGAAGCACCTGGCGAAATGTTTGTCACAGAGTGAAAGAAAGCCTCCACTTCCTGGAAGAGCCTCACAAATCATGACCACAAAGCAGCGCCAAGCTGCAATTTCGATTGCGCTGGGGTCTACTCTCGCACTGGCAGAGAAGGTCGCAAGAAACATGGCCTGGGAACAGGCAATGCAAGGCAAACACTTTCCCAGAAGCATTCTGCGACTGTCTCAAGCAAGCATGACTTAAGTGACATTACGGCTGTGTAGGTGGCGAGGTACGATCAATTGGTTCCTGATTGTTTCGAGGTCCGCATCGGCCGGTATGTTCGAAAGCGACATGTTGAAGGACACGGCAGGAACTTCCGATGAGTTTGCCAAACTTGCACTTCCGGAGCTGTCTGCGCCGTCTGGATCATCAGATGGGATGACTTCAGGTATGCATGCCGAAGGTGCCACCGATCCTGTGTCGAATGTGGTGTTGCCTGCCTCACATTGCGTGCACGTCTCCAGGTTGCCCACCTGCTCTTTGTAAGCCCCTTTCTGGCATTCCACGCAATTGCTGGATGTGGGGGCAAAATAATAGCCTCGATCACAGAGACAGTCCGCACTGGTGACCTTATCAGCTTGCACAAACGTCCTTGATGATGCAGGCAACATCAGGCAGTGCTCATGCTAACAAGGCCCAGTGGCGGAACCCCGGGCAAGGGTGGTTCGTCCTGTTGGACAAGACAGCCTGGTAGCCGTAGCTTCGGGTCCGCCAGCACAATAGTAGCCACGTGTGCAAAGCAAACATTGCTTTCCTGGCACGGCAACATGAGATGTCGAACGTGTGACCGAACTGATTGTTATGATAATTGGTCCAATCACGATGTACCAACCTTCCTAACTCCTCAAGGGACAGCTATCAAGCCATGCAAGTCAAAAAGGACGTGCAAAATGGCATAATGCAAACAACATGCGCTCACGGAGACCGCGATCCGGGTCCACGGAGCTCACCACACACGCGCTTGAAATAAGAAAGGCGTACGAACACGACCGCGATCCAGGTCCGCGGAGCTTTCCGAAACACACGCTGCAGAGAATGCGCAATTCAGATACCCCCCCACCCCCCCCCCCCATTTTCGATGTATCATTTTGTTTAACAATTCTAAGGCATGGCTAACTTCGGAACAAATCCCTGACACAGCCGCGCCTGAGGAAGGACCTGTCGCGAAAGTGCCTGCCGGGCAATTGACTTGCAAATATCCTCCAGGAGCTCGGTGTTCTGTCGTCGATGTGCAGTCTGCAGCTAGCGGACACCAACACACTCGGTACAGGCCAGGCACAGCTTCTGCAGGAAGCTCTCCCAGGGTTACCTGCATTCCGCTGCTTCCATCTTCCACCTCCAGCGGGTCCTGCAAACTGGGGTAGCCCAGTGAGCCCACACTCGTGGAGTTGCCGCACTCGCCTATGGCGAACAGCAACTGGTCGCCGCCCATGAGGCCGATTCCGGACAGCTGGACCGTGCACGAGCTCCCCAGCTCACAAGTGGTTGTCTGCTCAAACGGACCACTCGCTGTCATCAGTCCGACAGCTGCGTGGAAGCTGGAGGCAGAGGCGCAAACCTCACCAGCAAGCGGCCTGCAAAAGCAAATCCGAAAAATCCCTGGCACTGACAGCAGATATCTACTGGTGCTGCTCAGGAAAGCAAAGTTGACGCCATCCAGGGTTTCCATGATGCCACTGCTGGGAAAGCCAGGCAATGCTGTTCCTGTGCCGCAGTTGGAGAGAATCATCAATCGATCCCCTGTCTCCATGCTGACACCCCGCATACCTGTCACGGCACACTCCTGCCCGACAAAGCATTCACTCTCTTGGTTAGTTCGCGGGCCCACCACTCTCAGGCGCCCTGCAAACACTCGATAGTCTTCGGGGTTGCTGCAGGCGTCTGCCATGCCACGATCGCTGGCACACCAGCACAGCGCATAACCTCCATCATCCGCATCGATGGAAAGACGATAGTCGCTGGAAGCCTGTGACATACCGAAGCTGAGCACGAGGTTGCTCATGTTGCTCCCACTGGCCTCTTCAAGTGACAAGTTGCCCTTGCCAACACTGTTTTCAGGGGACAGGGCAAGCTGGGCTGTCAATCCACATTGGTCCCGTCGCACTGCGACAGAGTCCAGGGCAGACAATCCAAATCCAAGAAATGGCGTCAGATTGGAACAGTCCCGACCGCGAACGCATTCAAAAGAGTTCACACTGGGCCCAATGACATGAAGTTCACCGGCTTCTATCAGATAATTGCTGTTCAAGTCTTCACAAGTCAGATCACCAATGTTTGCGCACCAACACATGGAGTAGTAGCCGCCCTCAGGCGCAAACTCCGAAGGACTTTCTCCGAGCACATATCGGCCACCATTGCTGCTGGCCAGATCTGAAATCCCACTGTTCGCAACGTTCGGCACGGCCACCTTTGCTGTACTGCAGTGTGAACTAGCAAGCCCAATGCGGTGTCCATCTTGAAGGCCATAGCCCTCGATCCCATCCACAGCACAAGCTCGGCCAGAAATACACTCCCTCGGCTGGTCTGGGAACGGACGTACGCAGAGACTGTCATTCTGCGCGCCACTTTGCCTGGTCGTCGATCCGGCAAGACATGGCTGGCACGTCTGTTGCTCGGAAGCTCCTTCTTGGTCACTCCACTTGCCGGCTTCACATGCCACACATGCATCCACTGATGTTGCCTCTTCATCTGGCGAATAGCGGCCTGCCGGACACGGCTCACAGCTGCCGGTGCCACCCGTGGAGAACGTTCCTTCATCACAGGAATCACACTCCTCCGCTCCTGGCTCTGAAAACTGTCCCGCAGGACATTCCACGCATGGCGAGTTCCCAATCTCTTCCTTGAACGTACCGGCCACGCACGCCTCACAAACCCCGGCACCTGCGCTGTTGAAACCCTCCTGGCATAAGCAATCGAACTGACTGCTGGCAGTGTCGCCGTTGGTCGTCTGCGATTCTCCACAATGCTGCTTGTCACCTCCTCCAAGGCAGAAGTAGCCCTGGCCGCAAGGAGCACAACTCGCCGGATCTGCCGGGTCTTCGTTGACAAATCCTGCAGAGCAAGTGCAAGCGGCATAAGAAATTGCACCTTGCTGAAGCGTGGTCAGCGGCACATGCCCCGCTGATGGGCAAGCAACGCAGATGGAATCCCCTGTGGATGACTTGTAGGTGCCTATAGGACAGCTGGTGCAGCCATTCAGCAATCCTGTGCCGCCAGTAACCGCAGGCTGCATGCCATGTGGACACTGACAATCAGCCAAGCCAGTTACATAATCCCCTGCCTGGAGACCCAGACCTTCAGGGCACGTCAGCACTGTGTGCTGGACCGGAGTCTGATTAGCAACCGATGCAGACGCCAGAACTGTGCCTTCCATCTCCGAATAAACCCAGGCATCAAAGGACACGGGCGCAAGTCTACCTCTCATGATCTCCGCCAATTCTGCGTCAGGACTGAGAACCTCGTAGTCAACGTACCAGCTTCCACTGTGACGTGCCAGCAAGCTGAAGGATGCACGCGTGCTGTCAGTCAGGTCAACGCGCTCAGACAGCTCATCCAAGATGTTTGCCAGCAATGAATCAGTCGAGGCATCCAGCACAAGGATCGAGCCTGAGAAGGAGTACAAAGCCAACTGTGTAGCAGCAAAAACGTGCGTGTCATTGCTGCTGAAGTTGCCAGCGAGGCTGAGCAAATCCACACAATTAAAGCCTTCGGGAGTGGGGTCAATGTCCACGGTATTCCCTGTACAGGAACACTCCATGAGACTAGCAGCGCCACTGGTCGACGTCGTCTGCGCAGGGCACACTCCAGTGCAACTTGCTGGTCTGCCCGTCATATTCTGGTAAAAGCCGGCTGGGCAAGCAAAGCAAGCGCCTAGCTGGTCGTTCCAAAAATAACCATGACGGCAAACACACTGATCAAGGCTTGATGCTCCAGGCATACTTGTCATTCCTGCAAGACATTTCTGTATCCCGGCTGGGTAGCCACCGGCGCAGTAATAGCCTGGAGGGCACTCCTGACAGGTAATCGTTGCACTCTGTAGCTCATACCAGCCTGGAGGGCATTCGGCATAAAGCATCATAGCATACACACGGAAGTCAGCAGCTGTATTGCAATTGGGTTCACCTGCACACCAGCAGACCCAGAGCTGCTCAGGCCTAGAATTCTGCAGCTCCAAATGCCCAAGGTCATAGTAGTGTTGGCCACTGGTCGCATTGTACGATGATGCAACAGGCTGTGGCTGCGAGTAGGCAAGAGTCCCGTTCCCGCTCCCACAGTCTGCCACGGCCAGCAGCAGGTTGGCGGAGGAGAGGCCTATGCCGCGTAGGTCCGTAACAAGACACGGAGAACCAAAGGGACAGTGGAGTACCTGACCAGCGTACGGTCCTACAGATCGGAACAAGCCCACTGTGACGTTGAAGTCTGAACCGCTGCTGCAAAACAGAGATTCCGATTCTGCTGGACGACACCAGCACAGCCGAAAAATACCCGGAAGTGACATCAAGTAGCGGGCACCATCTAGCGCAGCTGAGCTGTTGAAAGCATAAGCTGTCCCCTCCACTGTGTCCGCATACCCCGGTGTAGGCAGGCCATCGAGGAAGTCTCCCTCACCACACTGTTCGAGGACGGAAACTCGGTCACCTGCCTGCAAGCCAGGACTCTCACCCTTGATTTGGATAGCACATTCCTGACCTTGATAGCACTCGGCCTCTTCGCCCGTAGGAGGGCCCTGAACCTCAAGGATCCCAAGCTGGGTTTCCAAGTAGACCGTGGCGCTCCCTACATTTTGCATCAGCATGCTCGTGCAACCTGGGCCGATGGATGAACACCAGCAGAGGGCATACTCTGCTGAAGCAGTGGTAACCGCAGTGTGCGATGACAAGTATAAGTCCACCTCGCCGCTCATGTTGCCTTGTGACTCCTGTGCCCGAACTTCCAAACTTGCGCCGAAGAACTTCGCCTGATCCAAGGTGCAGGCGACGCGAAAGTGGACAAGGTCGTCCGCTGTCAGCCCGAGACCTTGCACAGGACCAACATCACGACATACATGGCCCTTCGTGCAAGCAAAATGCTGATTGATGTATGGCCCGAGCACCACGATTGTGCCCACGTCAGTGTCGAAATTGTCGAGGGTATCACAGGCAACGCTGCCAACACCACCACACCAACAAAGCCTGTACTGCCCAGGATCTGCTGACAGTTGCAAAGACCAGGAATAGGTTGTGCTGCCCTGAGATGATATAGAGTCTGTCCCGAAACCAGCAACTGCCGAAGTATCTGGAGCGTCCACACCTTGGAGTCTGCGCGGAAACGGCGGATCAGGTGGATCACCAGGCCCATCACCGCCATCAGGTGGATCACCAGGCCCATCACCGATGCCACTGCTGTTGCCGCCGTCGCCTGGACCAGGGCCACCATCAGTGTTGTTTTCGGTGTTGTTTTCACCGCCGGCAGGGCCGCCATCGCCAGGTCCACCACCTGGGCCGCCACCAGTGTTGTTTTCGGTGTTGTTTTCACCGCCGTCACCTGGGCCACCACCTGGGCCGGCACCTGGGCCACCATCAGTGTTGTTTTCAGTGTTGTTTTCACCGCCGGCAGGGCCGCCATCGCCAGGTCCACCACCTGGGCCGCCACCAGTGTTGTTTTCGGTGTTGTTTTCACCGCCGGCAGGGCCGCCATCGCCAGGTCCACCACCTGGGCCGCCACCAGTGTTGTTTTCGGTGTTGTTTTCACCGCCGGCAGGGCCGCCATCGCCAGGTCCACCACCTGGGCCGCCACCAGTGTTGTTTTCGGTGTTGTTTTCACCGCCGTCACCTAAGCCACCACCTGGGCCGGCACCTGGGCCACCATCAGTGTTGTTTTCAGTGTTGTTTTCACCGCCGGCAGGGCCGCCACCACCAGGTCCACCATCACCAGTGCTGTTTCCATCGTCACCTGGGCCAGCATTAGTGTTGTTGCCACCTGGACCACCATCACCAGATCCACCATCACCGGTGCCACTGCTATTTCCACCATCGCCAGCATCGCCACTGCCAGTGCCAGCATCGCCGCTGCCAGTGCCGCTGCCAGTGCCGCTTCCACCGTCCAACCCACCGCTTCCGCCATCCAAGCCACCATATCCTCCACCCGAGCTGCCGGTGCCGCTTCCCCCGTCCAACCCACCATAACCGGATGATCCGCCATCGACGCCTCCGTAGCCTCCACCCGAGCTGCCCGTGCCGCTTCCTCCGTCCAACCCACCATAACCGGATGATCCGCCATCGACGCCGCCGTAGCCTCCACCCGAGCTGCCCGTGCCACTTCCACCATCCAACCCACCATAACCGGATGATCCGCCATCGATGCCTCCGTAGCCTCCACCCGAGCTGCCCGTGCCACTTCCACCATCCAACCCACCATAACCGGATGATCCGCCATCGATGCCTCCGTAGCCTCCACCCGAGCTGCCACCATAACCGGATGATCCGCCATCCAAGCCACCGTAACCTCCACCCCCGATGCCGGTGCCGCCACCCGTGCCGATGCCCCCACCATCACCCCCGTAACCCGCTACAGGTCCAGGGTCTGTGGGCTCCACAACACAGGCCTCCATCTTGACGGCAACCTGATGGCTGGAAACCAGCCCCACGCCTTCAAAGCCAGAGATGGCACAAACCTTCCCTCGGACACACTGAAAAGATTGGTTGATGCCCGGCTGGATGCACATGTCGAGGCTCGTCGCGCCATCAGACGCCGTAGTTTTGCCTGGGCACTCCAGACAGGCTTGCTCCGAGCTTATGCCAGTAACGTTGGAGTATGTCCCGGATGGACAAGCTGTGCATGTGGTAGCTTCATACTCGGCATATTTGCCTGCCTCACACTCCGTACAAGTGTTGTTTGCATCTGGAATACTCCCAGGCGCGCAAGCCACGCATGCACAGTTCGAACATGGCAAAAAGTTTCCCATGCCAATGCCAATGCCGATGCCACCATATCCTCCAGGTCCACTCTCGATCACCTCTTCGTATTGAGAGTTCGCTGCCACTGTCCCAGTTGCGCAGGCCGCACACTCCGATTTACCATAATCGGTGGTGACTGTTCCTGTTGGACACGCTTCGCAATCTGTGTGATTGGAGTTCGCATATGTGCCAGGTGGACACTTCTGACATGACATACCTGCTTCGGAAATCTCACCATCAGCGCAGCTGGTGCACGAAGAGTCACTTTCCGCTGCTTTGTACGTTCCAGCAGCACAAGGTTCGCAATCGTTCTGCCCAGAATTTGCAATCCATCCATCCCAGCAGTAAAAACATTCCATGGATTCGCTGTAAGAAAATTTTCCCAGATCACACTGGGTGCATTGGTAACTTTCTTCCGCCGAATAAGTGCCTCCAGGGCACACCGTGCAATTCGCATCTCCGGCTAAAGAGTAGCGGCCTGCCGCACACTTGCTGCACTCCGTTCCGTACAGCGGCTCTCTCCCCCTTTTGCACTCACTGCAGCTGGATGCCGCGGATGCAGAATATTTCCCCGAAGGGCATTGGAGACACCCTGTACGGTCCGCGCTGGAATAAGTTCCTGGCCAGCAATCCTGACAACTAGTGGCTCCACCAGCAGCAGCACCACCACCTTCTCCGCCGCCATCATCAGCTTCACTGCCATTGGCGCCATAGCTGCCATAGCCGCCATAGCCGGGGCCGGGGCCATAACCTCCCATCATTGAATCGCCGGAGATTTTCCCCGCAGCACACAGGTCACAAACACCTGTGGTGCCGTAACGACCGGCAGCGCAGGGCTCGCAAGCATCATGCTTGGCATTGGGGCCTTCACCTTGTGAGCACGCATCACATTGAATTGCACCCTCCATGGTAGAAACTCCGGATTCACACTTTGAACAGTTTGTGTTCCCGAGCGAATCTGCGAACTTGCCTGGTTTACATTTGTTGCAACGAGCTGCCCCGGTAACATTCGAAGCTCTTCCCACAGGGCATGGCGAACACACCGCTTCATGGGTATGCAACCGCCATTCCAGGCCATCATCTGCCAGATATGTGCCGGCTGGACATTCATCACAAGTCAACGCCCCAACTGTGTCTGCATATTTGCCAGCTTGACAAACAACGCATCCTCCATTGTCCTCAAAACGTCCCACACCACCTTGGTATGACACAGCATGATACAACCACAACCGCCGTTTCTTTTTTTAGCTTCGAGCATCTTCGAGCACTACGGCCATGAAGTTCCATGTATCTGAGATCGGGGCACTGCGCAGCAGCACCATCATGCACGCAAGCCCAAATCACACATGTCCTAAACAATGCCTCTACCCACCGCAGCATCGCTCTTCGACGCGCTGCTCTCCCATGCTTGCGATGTGCAACATGAGCCCATAACTCAGCGAAAAGAAGTTGACAAACAACCATCTGCAAACCGGGCATGAATCACTTACTGATTTTGCATGTGAACACATGTTTGGCAAACCGTTCGTTCTGCAAAACATTCATTTTGGACCCAAGGGCGAACGAATCTTCAAAATCTCACCGATACTTGTCCATGAGAAACAGCGCGTGCCGTGCGGCGCAGATTCCACCACAATTCGGCCCACATTGCCAGTGATTTGCGCCCTGACTCTGATGCGACGCAGGAGCAACAACATGCGTGCCTAAACGAGTGGTGTGCTCATTCTCAACAATCGGCTCATATCGATCACGCAGCTGTCAGCCAGCAGCTTTTGCACGATGCCGCGGTGCACGCAGTGCCTTCCTAACGGAAACTGCGTTCTTGCACATAATGATTGCTCATGATTGCTCTCTCACGCTGTCAGGTGCACGTCGGCAGCGCGCAGCATCCAAAGCAAATGGCATTGACAATATACCGTATGAAGCATTCTGCATTGATTTACCATAGGGCATTTTGTACTGTTTCGCCACTGTGGAAGAATGAGATTGTCATCCCTCCTTCTGGAGGGGCCGCGAGACGCAACGCCCATGACGACAGGCCAATCACTCTGACATGTTGCTTCGCAATTTTTTGGGGGAAAACGGTGTTGAACACCCCATTGTTGATCCTTGTATTCAATTTGGCTCAAGATCACGACACTTTGGCTCAAGCCATTTTGATCATTTTGGCTCAAAGCCACAAACTCCAGTCGCCCCCCTCCGGTACATGCCACAAGTCAGCAGGGCAGCACATGTGCATGATATCCCTCTGCACTTTGCACTTTTCACTTTGCACTTTGCACTTTGCACTTTGCACTTTGCACTTTGCACTTTGCACTTTGCACTTTGCACTTTGCACTTTGCACTTTGCACTTTGCACTTTGCACTTTGCACTTTGCCCGTTCGAGTCACGAAGACGACGGTCCTTTCAGGACAAGGGACAACGGTGGGTGTTACGAGCTAATTGATGTGCGAGGCCGTGTCAAACTGTACAAAATCATGTCTTGTTGACGGCCATCTTGGCAGATGAGCTACATCAGACCACGACCTACATCCAGGGAACTGCGACATTACAAACTCCCTGCTTGCGCGAGGCAGCGGCAACGCGCGACTTGCTGCAAGCGGAAGGCTGGGAAGCCTGCCCCAGCTGGCAAGCAGCCCACAACGGCGCCCGGCCGCAACAGCCCCGTGACGCAGGCCGGGACTGGCCGCATGGCTGGCAGTTCCACGCGACGCGGACACGAAACCTCTATTAACGCGATCGCGTGCTGCTGCCGGCTTTGCAGCCTGCCTCCCAAGCCCTGCTACGCTCGCAGGGCGGACCGCACGCGGGTGCCTGGCTCTCGGCAGTGCCAAGCGAAGCAGCTCTCACTCTCGCTCCACAGGCCATGCAGCTCGCGTTGCGGCGTCGCTTGCGTTTGCCCCTGCCGCTCAGCTCCAATCGCTGCGGCCCGCGCCCTGGTTGCGGCCAACAGGTCGACCAGTATGGGGACCACGCCCTGGCCTGCCCCCGCACAGGGTTGGCACGACGACCGTCGAGCGAGCCTGGGTGCGCGTAGCCCGCGAGGCGGTCGGACCCGAGGGGCAGGTCATCCCCCAACAGTGGCTGGTGCACACTACTGCACCGGGAGTGCCGGCCGATGACCGAAAACGACCCGACCTAGTCGTCTATGGGGCCACGCCGCGGGGGGGTGCGTTGTGCTGCGATGCCACCCTCGTTTCCCCACTCGCGCGGACAGGGCATCCACAGCCGGGCGCCGCTGATACGGATGGCGCCGTGCTCCGGGTGGCCGAACGCCGCAAGCGGTTCTACCCACAGCTCTGCCGCGCTGGGCCACAGGAACTCGTGGTCCTGGGCGCGGAGATCGGGGGGCGCTGGTGACGAAGTTGGCCGCTTCGTGCACCACCTCCTGCGCGTCCGGTCGCAGCGAGCGCCTCCCGCTCTTCGCTGGTCCCGCCGTTGGTGGGGGTGGCCGCGCAACAGGCTGTCGCCAGCACGGCGCTGGGGCAGGCTTGGCCCGCGCCGCCCCTCGAGCGGGCGCTTGAGCTCGCAGGCCCTGCGAGCCCTAGTCGCCTGCCGCTGCGCCTGTAGCCAGGCCGGCGACGTGCAGGCGCCTTGCTGGCGCGTCGAAGGCCTTGCGTTGGGCCCTCGTCGTCCGTCGCAAACCAGGCGGGGGCACGCGAGGCTTGGCGGTTGGTGGCTTTCTGTCTGTGACGGTTCGTCACCAGGACCATCGCAGTTCGCCTCCAACTTCGAGGCCGCCTGCAACCCCCACGAGTATGCCCTTTCTACGCGGGCCGGTGCCGAAGTGCTGGTGCAAACTTTGCAAGCGCGTACTCAGGCTGGACTCGAGCTTGACACTCTTGTCAGTTCATGCAGCAGCAGCAGCAGCAGCAGCAGCAGCAGCAGCAGCAGCAGCAGCAGCAGCAGCAGCAGCAGCAGCAGCACATGACCTTGTTAGCCGGGAAGCTATGCTAACGGCATTGCGTGATGCGCCGAGCACGCAATCAATCCTTTCTTTCGCCCGTAATGGCAAAGCGTGGCATTGTTGCCCTTGGCGTTCCTTTTGGCGCTCAGGAGTTCGTCGAAGCCCACCTGCATGCAGCTGGCCCGCCAGGGCGGCCTCCTGGCGACTCCCAGGTTGCATGGCTGTTGCTTGCGCAGCGCCGCGTGCGCAATTTTGCGCTCTGCTCACCCTCGCTTGCAAGCACACGTGGCTACGCGGCGGTCCACGATGGCGCAGTCCTCCGCTGCGTTGCCGTGCTCTTGTCAACTCCCTCAGCCTGCGCAAGCGTGCGAGCGCAATAAGCGTTGCGGCACGGCGGACTCGGCTTGCGCAGTGCAACATGCCATGCGCCGGCTGGGCTTCTTGGGCTAACGCATTGCATGCTATGGCCCAACGCGACCCCATGAGGTTGCCGGCTCTCTCGCCCCTGACCGGCCACTCCCGTTGGCGCTGCAGTCAGCGCGAGACTCGCTCGCTGCCATCGGCTTCGAGCCCCCTGCCTGGGCGGAGTTGCTGCATGCTCAAGTGCCCGGCGTCCCAGACCGTTGAGAACTTTTTGCCATAAAGCCTTCCTTCGTGAAGCCGACGCTGCCTCGGCCGCCCTGCTGGATTCGCAGGCTGGGCCGCATGCGTGCGTTCTCGCAGTTCTCGTTGGAGTCGTCGCTCTTCCGAGCCTTCCTGTTGTGCATACTTCGCTTCCCCCCGCCACTGACTTCTGCCAGATACCCTTGCCGTGCACACCTCGATCCTTGTGGTGGCCACTGCTCACGCGCTCCGGCGTCCTGCGGGCGAGGGGCGGCTCGGCTGTTCGTGTGTGCGGGCAAGCTGGGGCTGCGGTCGCTTTCAACGTGCTTGTCGGGGACATGTACGTCGACCCGGCTCGTCAAGGCGACTCGACACCACGCTTGTCTCCCCCTTTACTGCTGTTGGGCTCCCACGCGGCGCTGGGGGCCGCACAGCTGGAGCTGCCTTGCTCAGTGCAAAACGAGCCAAGGAGCGCGCACACCCTGACCTCCACAGGTCCAACTGGAGTGCTGAGGCCGCTACCTTTGTCCGTTTGCTGGCACGGTGCCGGGCGCGGTCTGCGCCGCCCGCTGCCGCCGTCTCGGCTTTTATTCTTCGGTGGTTTGCGCTCCTTTCCTTCGCTGCCGCGCGCTTGTTTGCAGCCAGCCTGCTGTCCTGGCATCCCCCTCCCCTTAGCATGGAGGGGGGCGGAAAATGCAAATTACATTTTCGGGCTCGGGAGACGAGGAGAAACAGTAAATGTAAAATCCTATGCGTGGGATTGCTTGGGATATGAGATATGCGTGGGATTGCTTACCTTCCTCCCCTAGTTACCCTACCCTGCAGCACAAACCTGAAAATGTAAAAAATATTGTTTTGCATTTATGCGCCCCCCCCCCCCCCTATTTACATTTATTAAGGGGTGGGGGATGTCCTGGCCCCTCGCCGGCACGGCTAGTGTTGACCGGGAGCTACCAGCAGCGATTGCCTGGTGTTCAGCGGTTCCATGGTTTGAACGCCTCTGTGCACACATCGCCCAGCATCGCCCAGCATCGCCCAGCATCGCCCAGCATCGCCCAGCATCGCCCAGCATCGCCCAGCAAGTGCACGATGCCAGGCACGAGTCTAGAATCGGCGTTCGGTGTCTCACACGAGTTGTTGGTGACATGCACGGACACGTCCCAATCTATGACAAATTTTTTTTGGATTGTTTCAGCGGGCCTATTTACCACCCTTCACGCCAATCGGCTGGCGAGCGCGAGTCGGCGAGGATGTCGCTCAGAGGTTCCGAAGCTAAAGGACCTGCAGCGTGCAACAAGATCGGGCAATAGAAGAAGGAGTTTGCAGCGTCATGATTTGGCGGCATAGCACAAAACAAGCTGCTGTGGCCGTTTTGGCACTGGCTGACTGCGCTGGGC